TGAACATTATGAATCATTGGTGATCGGTTAAGGGCAAAACTAAACTAAAATGACCTGAAAATGTCCTTGCAGGAGCTGGGACTGATCCGTAAGCCTGCTTCCTTCATGACCAGCATCTGTGATGAGAGAGGTCAGGAGCTCATCTACGCAGGCATGCCCATCACTGAGGTCTTCAAGTCAGAAATAGGCCTGGGAGGAACTCTGGGGCTTCTCTGGTTCCAGAGGAGGTCAGCCTGTTAACCTCTATACCTTAAACTCTTTGTAGTTCAGTAATCTTGAAACCTCATAAACCATTGTTGTTTATCCCTTCGTGTGCAGGTTGCCCAGATATGCCTGCCAGTTCATAGAGATGTGTTTGATGGTGACTGCTGATCACGGCCCTGCTGTTTCTGGAGCGCACAACACAATCGTCTGTGCTCGAGCTGGCAAAGACCTCATCTCCTGCCTCACCTCCGGCCTTCTAACCATCGTAAGATCATTTCACCTGTCATTCATGTTTTAGTTTAGTTCGGTTTTTCACAGACTTATAGAACAACAAAATACACATGTAAAAAAACAGAACCGTACAGAGCAGTTCTATTTTCAATACTTATAGCTCTCTTCTGTAACATGTACTGCAAAAGCTGAGTCTGAGCATTTCTCTTTTCCTCTCTGTCACTTTTCAGGGTGATCGCTTTGGGGGTGCTTTGGATGCTGCAGCGAAGCAGTTCAGCAAAGCTTTTGACAGCGGCATGCTGCCCATGGAGTTTGTCAACAAGATGAAAAAAGATGGCAAGCTGATCATGGGCATTGGACACAGAGTAAAGTCGGTGAGTCCAATGGCTCTGAAGCGCGTGATCAAGACGTAGAAAAATTAGATTTAATATTGTGTTTCATAGTGAACGGGGTGTAGTACACTGCCAGTGTTGGGGCTAAACATATAATGTAAAGGACAAGTAGAGAGGGAGGGAAACCAGATTGAATGGAGGATAAAGATTTAGACTGAAAGGGAATGATCTGTTTTCTGCTCAGATTAACAATCCAGACATGAGAGTCCAGATATTGAAGGACTTTGTGAAGCAGCACTTCCCCTCCACCCAGATGCTGGACTACGCTCTCGACGTGGAGAAGATCACCACGTCCAAAGTAAGATTTATCACTTCATCTTGCCAATCACAGCCTTTATTAAATAGTCACATGATACATCTTTCAATTACATGCTTTTTTCCCCCTGTGTGTTTATTTGTTGCATTAGAAACCCAACCTGATCCTGAACGTGGATGGTTTCATTGGTGTGGCCTTTGTGGACCTGCTCAGGACTTGTGGTGGTTTTACAAGGTGGACATCTTTATGTCTTTTTACAGTTACAGTTGTTTAAAAAGGGACACCTTCACTATATTTGAGACAAAATTGAGAAACAGGCATTCCAATTTCATTTTTACACATGTAGTGGGAGATAAGATCCTTGTTTTCTTGCTTTAAAGGAGAGGTGTCATGCTTTTCCGGTTATTACCCGTCCTCTTGTGTGTTATGAAGGTTTTTATGCATGTAAACGGTCTGCAGAGTCAAAACCCTCAATTTACACCCTGTAGCGAGTAAAACTCTAACACAGAAAATACCTCCCCAAAACGCCTCGTTGGAGATACGTCATTGTCCATTTGATTCTTCCGGGTACGGCATGATGTCAACCCGTACCCGGAACGAAATGGACCAATCCGTGGAGCCGTTACGTTACGTCCGCGGAGCCGTTACGTTAAGCCCCCGCTGATTGGTCCAAATTGACCAATCCACGGACTTCCTCACACACACATCTGTGTGCAGGGAGCAGGCAGCTCTGCTGATTTCTCCTCCCTGGCTGCAGGCTGATAACAGACAGTTGGGATCGCGGCGAAATTCTCTCTGCAGACCCATTCTCACAGCGTTTATCAACCTTTTTCTTACTCAATATCAAGCCACACTTATTGTTTTTACTTCGGCTGTGACTTTGTGTGTGCTCAGGATGAGTTTGGCTGTGTTTCGCTATGTATCCTAAACAAGGAAACAACACCTCCACGGAGCTCAGCACGATTCACAACGTCCCGACCAATCAGAGCACACTGTGCTCACAGGGAGGGTGGGGGCTGGAGCTATTGGAGCTACAACGAGCCGTTAAAGGCAGAGAGTGAAATTCAGTAAATACAAGTAGTTTACAGAGATGCTGTATGAGAAACCAATGTGAGTTTGGAAAAATGCACAGTATAAATCTATTTTAGTAGACCTCAACAATGGAATTATGATCAGTGGAAATGGCCATGACACCTCTCCTTTAACTAAATAATACTTTTTACTTTCATATAATAAATAGGTGAAAACAAAGCAGGGACAGCAAGAAATCAAACAGTGTTTGTCCAAACAGAAAATGAACACCTAATTCCAACATTGCATTTGATTTTTAATCAATTACGCACCCTGTGTCTCTTTTAAATTAAGATATACCATAATGCATCTACACTTAACTAATTATTTAAAAAAAAAACATTATGTATTAAAGTAAATGGGGGCTGTGATTATCAATAACAACAATATTTTAAAACATCAGCTTGCTGCTAAATTTGTGTTTTAGTTTTCTTCAAGAAATCAAGGTAACATTGGGTGGGTTATTAATATGCAAATTATAATTTTATGCTGGAAGTATTCCTTTAAATTAAACGTGTCATCCTGCACTTTTATGCGCTTATGATTTACGTATTATGCCGATATTGTATTTAACAATCTTTTCAATGCATCCGCTCTTATCCCTGTTTTCCATCATGCCCACCACTGGGATGAAGCTGACGAGTTTGTGGAAATTGGAGCTCTGAACGGTATCTTTGTCCTGGGGCGCAGCATGGGATTTATTGGTGAGTCACTTCTGTGTGCAGACACACTGATACGCCAGAGTATGTAAGGCTCTGAACACTTCTACCCTGTATGACAATAATCCTTCCTCTTTGTATCTCTTTAGGACACTACCTGGACCAGAAGAGGCTGAAGCAGGGTCTGTACCGCCACCCCTGGGATGACATCTCCTACGTGCTGCCAGAACACATGTCCATGTAATCAGAGGGTATAAACCATAGAGTGTCACCCAAACCTTCATCCCCCGCCCACACCGTGATCTTAACCCCTAAACAGTGGCGTTATATAGGGAAGAAGTTACTATTACTATAGCTGTAAATTGCAAATGTTAAAAAGAAGAGTATGTTTTAGTTTTGCGAACCTGTCGGTGCTGCTGTGAAGCTCCAGTAAAACAAAGTCAGGGTCTAACTGAGGGAGATTTTAAAATAAATCAAGTGAAGGAGTAAAAGGGGATAATCCATGGCTTTTTAAGTAATGTTGTTTACCCCAAATATGTATAATTGTCGTATTAACCTAGCATGTCTCACAGACTGTTGTGTCTCTGTGCAGCTCTCTTCCTCGTGCCAATTAGATCATGATCTTGCCACAAAGGGGTGAACATGTAGTGCAATAATGCCTGTAATAGGAACAAATACTGTAGACCAGAGCTTTATTTATGTATAGATGTATTGTCGGTGAAATTAAATGGTACAAGAATTATGTAGTTTATGCTATTTTATTATTTTGTTTACATATTTTTTAAGGCGAAAATATCAAGCATTGTGCTGTGTTCTGTGACAAAGGGACCGTGTTATGAGTCACTCCTGGCGTGTGTTGACATTTGGAGGCAAAATGATCTCTCAGCTGGTGGAAAATTTGAGAGTAAAATGGTTTAAATGGAAGTTGAATGTTAGTCATCATAACACAAATAAAAATGTTTTTCTTTCTGAAGTTGTTGAGTGGATTAGGGAATTGTTGCCAAAAGCCCCAGGATGTGTTTATAGTATGATTTTCTATGAGGAATTAACAATGAAAGGAATCATATTCACTATTTTTCTCCATTACACTTACATCAGTTATTAGAATACTTTGATGTCAGCACTTTAATAGGACAGCAAATTATTTTATCTGTCAAATACCATCATTTATTTTATGTCTTCACATCTTTTTGGGAATTAATATTGTTAACTTCTCTGTTAATATTTTACATTACAAGTGTCAAATATTGATCATGTTACAATCTGGAAAGAAGCTTTATGTAGACAATCTGCTCATTACCATTAGAATGCAGGACAAAACTTAAATTCTCTTTGAAACAAGAACATTAAACATTCTCCCAAAATGCATATAGTCCAAAAGAAAATCTTTGACAGCCATCACCAGTACGAATGTAACAAAACAGTAAAACAAATCTTCTGACAACTAATAACCTCAACAGTGTTGTTGCAAAGTGTATGTCTTTAACTCTCTCAATGTGAACTGAATGTGCCTCTGTACTGATTTGTTGTTAGTTGACAACTGTGTAATTGAGTAAAATAAAATGTCATTAATGTAATTAACAATGTGTGTTCAGTGTTATCTTTCAAATATAGTGTAACATTTGCAAGTGAGCGCATGTGTCAGGTTTAAGGAATTATGTTTGATAAGCACTTTATTACATTGAATTACTACTAATTTGATAATAATGATTGAAAACTATGTTGGTGTGCCCTTAGGGGAAAAATGCCATTGTGCATCAGGCCCAATTGCTAGGACACGTAACCACACAGCCATTATTAATTACGCTTGGGCTTTTCCTGCCATTACAAGTCAAAAGTCTGCAATGAGTTGCCTGCTTATTCTGTCTGAATTAGAGTATGTTAATTAAAGTGTCTTATATGGGTTTTTTAAATCAGTCCGAAAAGGCAATAAACAAACTCAATATATAGCAGCAGATTTAAACAATGCAATATACTAAGATTTATATGTGGATGTGCATTTATTGCAAGCTTGAGTGGCTCGACCTTCCCTTTGCCAAGGAAACTACATACGTGTAAGTGCAAGTTTTATACACCATGTGCAAATCAGAGCTCCGTTCAGCAGAGGGAACTGCCCCTGACGTCAACGACGCGGTCACGCCTTTCACCCACTGCGCATGTCAGGGATTATAGCTGTGTTTACCAAACCGAAGCTGGTTCCGTATTCGTCGTTTACCAAAGCTTTTATCTCTTTGACATAAGAAAGGTAAAGTAATTATGTTTTAGCTTGTGTTTGAATGGTAAAGCCTTTGTAAATATAGGTTAATACCCTAGACATTGTGCACAGATATTTACATTTAGCTGTGTACGTGTTGCATAATCCTTGTTGTTTTGTTTTAAATCTACTACTATTTTGATATGAAAATTAACCCCTGTTTCATTGAAGACCAGAATATGGTCATCACAATATTGCAGTTTGTAAGGACGATGTGTTATATGAATGACTTTTTACAAACTACCCATGTTCTCCTCTTAATCGAGGATATAAAGCTCCTAATACGAAACGCGCTTCACTGTCGTTGTCTGTTTTGACTCCATGTATGTGTGGTTACGTATGTCGCCTTCTCTCCTGCACTAGTTTACTTCATTTTCCCCCACTGCTCACCTCCAGCGCCGGCAGCACGATGGCAGCGGCGGCCCCGAACCCGGAGGACTCGGCCAGGAGCAGCGGTACCGGCGGCACCGGCGGCACCAGCACACCCAGCGCCCTTGCCGGAGACGGGGACGCCGAGGAGTCCGAGGACTTCACCTCCTCCTCCCACTGCTCAGAGCTGTCTCGGCGGCAGAACGAGCAGCGGAAGCAGGGCTTGTTCTGCGACGTGACGCTGGCCTTCAGCAGCGGGGCGGCTAGCGGGAGCGTGCAGAGCTGCGAGCTTTCAGCCCACAGGTCCGTCCTGGCTGCGGCCACCGATTATTTCACCCCCCTGCTGGGAGGACAGTTCTCCGAGTCCCTGTCCGGACGTGTAGAGATGAAGGAATGGAGCTCAGAGCTGGGGCCAGACTCGGATACGGTGCAGAGTGTCATCCAGTACATGTACACAGGGGAAATACGCGTTAGCACCTGCAATGTACATGAAGTATTGGAGCTAGCTGACAGGTACGATGTTTACAATTATGTTTTACAGTTCATGTCAGAACATGTCAGGTTCATTGATTGAGCACATTTAAAAACCACAAACCATATCCAGAGTACTTTACAAAGAGGTTTAAACACAGCCGTAGATAAGGTTATATAAGTCAATTAATAAAAGTATATCATTTAAAATGGAAGCAAATGGTATACTAATACACAAACAGCCTTGCACAAACAACATCATTAAATACAAACTAATACAATTTAGATTGTGGTCAGGTATGTATGTCATGATAAGTATAAATATTATAATAATAATAGAAATGGGTTTTAAATCTGATGGACCTCAGAAGGTTAACATGAGGCCTTTTGTGGCTGCTCTGTTGTCCAAAACAATTGTTGTTTTGTGCTCTGCTTGCAGAAAGCAAGACTTGCCTGGCCCAACTGGTTGAAACGGAGTAGTATTATCTAGTTACAGGAACAGTTCATTCTGATGACATCCTATACTGTATTCTCTCTGTTGGTTCTGTATTAGGTTCCTCTTGCTGCAGCTGAAGGACTTCTGTGGGGAGTTCCTCAAGAAGAAGCTGAGCCTGACCAACTGCGTGGCGGTGCACAGTCTAGCCCACATGTACACCTTGGACCAGCTGGCTCTACGGGCTGCAGACATGATCCGTCGCAACTTCCACAAGGTCATCCAGGATGACGAGTTCTACACGCTGCCCTTTCACCTGGTTCGTGACTGGCTGTCGGATGCAGAGATCACAGTGGATTCTGAGGAGGTGCTTTTTGAGGCTGTGGTGAAGTGGGTGCAGAAGAACCCAGAGGACCGCAGCCGCTACTTTGAGGAGCTGTTCCGTCTCCTGAGGCTGCCTCAAATCAAGCCCACCTATCTGACCAGGGTGGTGAAAACTGAGCTGCTGGTGTCCAGCAATGAGGCCTGCCTACGGCTGGTGTCAGAGGCCGTGGAGGGTCACGCTATTCGCTTTGAGAACCTCAAGTCAACGGATATGGAGTTCTGGTCTTCCCACATGGCCTCCTTTCAGCCTCGCTTTGGCCAGAATATGGATGTAATCATGGTGGTAGGCGGTGTGTCAGAAGGAGGGGACTACCTGAGTGAGTGTGTGGGCTACTTCATTTATGAGGACCGTTGGGTCAACCTGCCTCACATCCACAACCACCTGGACGGCCACGCCATCGCCGCCACAGAGTCCCACGTCTACGTAGCTGGTTCTATGGAGCCTGGCTTCGCTAAGACCGTAGAGCGGTACAATCCTAATCGCAACACCTGGGAGCAGGTGAGCAACCTGACCACACGCAAGCACTCATTTGGCCTCACCTGTATAAAAGATATACTGTACAGCATCGGTGGCCATGGTAACTTCAGTCCAGGTTTCAAAGACGTCAGTATATACGAGCCAGAGCAGGACAAGTGGCACAATCTGGAATCAGCTCCCAAAATCCTGCGGGATGTGAAGGCAGTGAGTGTGGAGGACCGCTATGTGTACATCACGGCACGCACACCTGTCGATACGGATAATGAGGATGGACTAAAGACGGTGACCACGCGCTATGACACAGAGAGCCGCCAGTGGCAAGACGTTGACTCCTTGCCACTTATTGACAACTATTGCATCTTCCAGATGGCTGTGGCTTCTACTAACTTCTACCACACGGCCTCTTGCTGCCCCAAGAGCTACACAGTGCGGGATGAGGTTGCCAAGCAAAAGATCAGTGGGCACATCTCTGATGAGATCCTGGAGAGCCTGCCACCAGAGGTCACCAGCATCGAGGGTGCTGCCATCTGCCACTTCGATGAGGACGTCTTCATCATCGGAGGCTGGAAGAACAGTGACGATGTGGACAAGCAGTACCGCAAGGAGGCTTACCGCTACTGTGCAGAGAGGAAACGCTGGATGCTGCTGCCGCCCATGCCTCAGCCTCGCTGCCGAGCCACCGCCTGCCATGTTCGTATCCCCTACCGCTTCCTGTACGGCTGCCAGCGCTACCCCATGCCCCAGAACCTGGCCCGCCAGCGAGACCGCATGCAGCAGATGCAGCAGCTTCACCGGCGCACGCTCACCTTACGCCGACAGCTCCAGTCGCAGATAGAGTGCTGAGCAAGTCGGCGAATGCTTAATTAAAAAAAAACGACATGATTTATCGGAGGATACACTGCAAACATTATCTCCATTAAAGCCATCTTCATTGACTCCCTCTCATTCATAACATCCTGCAGTGGGTCTTGTTTGGCTATCATACTGGATTACATTAAACTGAACTCGTGCCATCAGCTCCCATGCTGTGTTGTGTTAATGGCTGCTTTGTGGAAAGCCATGAAGTGTTTAGACAGATGTCTGGTGGTCTGTGAGGAGGAACAAGAGGAATGTAAACATGTGAATAAGAGTGTTATATACTATAGCAGCCAACAACTGAAAATCCCTTTGTCAATGTTGGCATAGATGCCGTTTATCTGTTTGTACATACATAGGATAAAGCTGTATATGTAAACATTTATATGGATATTTTACATTCCTTAATTGTATGCCTGTACTAGGTAGGCTATGTGACATTACCAATAACTGCATTCCTACATTCAATCCAACTCGCTTAATGAAGTCTCATTCCATTTTAACACTGTGACAATCTCCTCATGCAAGTAGAACATCTGTCCAAATGTCTTAAATCTAACTTGTACATCATTACTGCTTTATTAGAACTGCTCTGCTTGTTAAAGTGCAGCCTCAACAATTACATGTTAATTCCTTAAGAAAGGCTGTCAAAATCCCATAGACTAGTTTACTTTTAGATTACAGTTTCCCTTCAACGTTTGTACTGAGTGTATCTAATATAAATTAATTTGTGTTGCTCATCTAATATTTGAAAACTAGTAATTTATCTCATGGTTTCTGAGGTGGGGAAATTATGAGAAAACTGTGATGTTGAAAAGATGTGATAAGATTGAATGAAACAAATCCCTTGATTTATCTTAACGTTTAAACAAATATATATTTAGCCACTGCATTTGGTGTCCATCACTGGCAATGGCTCAATCATTCCTTTCATTTGCACTTTGGCAATCCATTGCTCAGTGTATTCTCATTCACTCAAGAAAAATACATTGAAAATGTATATTTCTGAAAATACAAAAAAATACATTGAAAATGTATTTTTCTGCGAGTGGGGGAGTTTGATTTGTGTTTGCAGAGAGGAGTTTCTCTACAACTGCACTTGTTGACATCCAATTGTTTAAGTCTTACAGAAGCATAGGGATTTAAGTTGCCACCGCACTTTGACTTTACTTATTTAATTTGTTTCTTATCAGACAAGGTGATTGTAAAATGGAAAAGCTTTGTTTTGGCCAGCAAACTCAGTACGTTTTGATCTGCTTTTAAAAAAAAAAAAACGTTATCATTCTCTGCAGATTTGTTTCCAACATTAAATGTCATGGTAAACCTTGTTATTGTACTTCCCTTACAGTTGGGTGTATATTAGAGAACTGCTATGTTGTTCTGTGGTCTCCTCCTAAAAGTCTTACAAATAAGTTGAAAAAGAATCCGACTTGTAGACAAAGCTAACCAGATTGTTATATAAATGTGTTGTGACTGACATTCAGAGATTCCCGCTGTCCTTGCAGCGCTTATTACAGCATAAAGGTTACAGAGCGCAGAAATGATATTCATTTCCACTTTATGACCAACATAAATAGCACTGTAAATATTAAGTGGGATATGCTATGTAATTTGCTTCGCATGTGATGGTTCTGACATTGTGTGCTTATATTGGATGTAAGAAATGCTAAGGTCATCACTTGCAATTAAAGTTGTTTTGTAAAACAAATGGTTCCATTTAAAGTGTATTCATATTAAGTTGGACTTGTTAAAGAGTATGATGATAATACTTTATTGTTGAATCGAGTGTGTATTTTTTCTTGCAACACAGTATTTCCATTCGCAACATCAACAAAGACTAAATTACGGGGAAAAAAACAATAATGCATACATTTTATAACATTACAATTAAGACCCGTCAACATAGACTTGTTAAAGGATTCATCTCCATATTTAATTTTAGGATTGACTGGTGCATAAAAAAAGTGTTTCAGTTGAACTTTGTTAAATTATGGGATTCTGTATTACCAAATACATGGTAATTGTTTTTTATTTAGCCTACTATTCATTGAATAGTATAGGCTAAATAGAACCATGTCCTGAATACTATCAGGACATGGTTCTAAGACATTTTAAATTAATATTCTATCACATACTATACTGTGTTTTTTTTGTTATAATATTTCTCATTACATATTTTACTATGAATTTGTTTTGATATACTATATTCTGAATTCAGAGATTTCTAATGACCTTCTTGGCTTTCTATTGCATTTTTATGAAATACTATACAATAACTTTTTCACTTAAACACACTTCACTAATATTGTATTACCATATAATGACATTTGTATAACGTTTTACGATATTCAAGTGGGAACCTTCTATCTGTGCCTATATGCCTATATGGGTGGAGGAATACATGACGTCCCACTTCAATTTATACAAGTAGTGGTGATGCATTTACGTGTTCACCATAAAACTCGTACTTGTGTAGATATATCATACGGAAATAAATGCTTGGAATCTTTAGGTCGCAAAATAAATGATATTAGTATCTTCATATTTTCTGTAATATGTTTCCATTCATCGCTCCTAGTACACGTTACATGTCAGCTATGGGGAACAAAACATTACTGTTCACCACATTGTTTTAGTCACTTGAAAAGAAATACCGACACTTTGGTCAGTACCAGAAGGCAGCATCACCGCTCTAGCAGCAGATGTCAGATGATTCTTTAGCTCGCTCTCCCGTAGCAACATTAAGGGGACTTATCAACGGAGACTGGCAACTGTTGAAACATCTTTTATCAACATTAACTGAGCAGCAACCTATATCCAGACAATGGTAATCATATGTTTTAAGTTAAAGTTGTTAGGGTGCCATGCACTAAAAAGAAAAGCAACAAACTTGCATACTAGCTAGCTAGGTCAGCTAAACGTACCTAGCATGGCTGTTGGCATCACTGTGGCTAATATTAGCTTATGTTCCTCTTTGTTAGCTGCATCGTCTATAACAGTACATTCAATTATTATTTGTCTATAGTGTCAATGTTTGGTACTACTGGCAAATGATGTGCGTTAAAACAGCTGTCTGGGGGACATTGTGGTTTGCTTGTGTAAGACATTGTCTAACCACTTTCTCTCTTAAATGACGTTTAAACTAACCTGCATATGTATTCAATGTTCAGATTCCAGAGTTGTCCAACCCCTCGGTGTGTATGAGGGACCCTCAGAGGGTGGAGGACATCCTGCAGTCCATGGTGAAGGCTGGCTCCAACACCGTGCAGGTACATATCCACTTCTACCATTCAAGTGTTTGCCCTAAATTACACGTGCAATGTGAAGAAGTGTGATATTCTATTTCTATTCCTATTCTATTCAGGTGATCGCAGATTTTGACATGACTCTGACAAGATTTGCATACAAGGGCAAAAGGTGCCCTACATGTCACAGTAAGTGCCCGATGTAGTTTGGGGTTTTCATGCATTTAAAGGTTGGTCTTGGCCAAATGTTGTAGACATTTTGTCTCTGATTTTATTTACAGATATTCTTGACAACAGCAATCTTATCTCCACTGAATGCAGAAAAGAGGTAGGAGTGAGCCTTTAGTGCAACATAATTGTTTCCATTTGTAGGGCTATTGTCTTTAAATAAACTTCCAATATATTTTTCTGACACAATGCAGTTAATGCATGTTCAAATAGTTAGATATTACAAGTGAAATATATGCATATTTGCCTTTTTTATCTTAAGTAAAAATGCTTACATCTTAAGAAGCAGATTAACTTAGTACAAACATCTACTCTTTAAAATATGCTGCTTTTTTTTACCCAGTAAGACCAAATATTGCTTATTATTTGGGTGTATATATTCATTTTAAGAGAGTGTTGGACATTATCAGCATTTTAAACACAGAAAAAAACACATTCCAGAATCCCTAGGATATTATCTGACAAAAAGAAGTTGTGAACTGAAAATTATTCTAATTTCTCATTGGGTAAAAAGCAGTAGTTTCCTAACTGTTACAGTGTTCTAAGTATTGTCCTGTCTCTGTCAGCTGAAGGTTCTGCTCGACACATACTACCCTATAGAGATCGACTCGGCACGATCAATAGCAGAAAAGCTGCCCCTGATGGTGGAATGGTGAGTATCTATTTTACTAAAAATATCATATTCCTTACTTTAATGTGTTAATACAACTGAGTCACCCACCTATATCTCACAGGTGGACTAAAGCTCACAAAATCCTGGTGCAGCAGAAGATTAGGAAAGACCTGCTGGCCACGGCGGTGCGGGATTCTGACGCCATGCTGAGGTCAGAGAGAGTGATCCCTCAGAAGACCAGAACATCTATTTAATAGTCTACATGTTGAAAAAGATGTGTATTAATGGTTGCTCTTTCATCAGGGAGGGCTACCAGCTCCTCTTCGACCACCTGCATGAGCACAGCATCCCCCTCCTCATCTTCTCTGCTGGAATTGGAGACATCCTAGAAGAGGTTATCCGCCAGGCCGGAGTCTTCCACTCCAACGTCAAAGTCTTCTCCAACTACATGGACTTCGATGAGTCTGTGAGTATCCACACCTCAAACTACGGTTGACCCCCGCACCAGGGATCGACTTCATGTATTTGACTCTGTATCTGCTGCTACAGGGATTGTTGAAGGCTTTCAAGGGAGAGCTGATCCACATCTACAACAAACGGGAAGGCGCTCTGCTGAACACCGGTCATTTCGAGGAGCTGCGGACGCGCCCCAACGTGCTCCTGCTGGGAGACTCTCTGGGAGATCTGACCATGGCCGACGGGGTGCAGGACATGGAGAACATCCTCAAGATCGGCTTCCTTAATGACAAGGTAAATACAATCTCACACACAGGTTTTATACACCACCAGACTCTGGGACAGTTTATCCCACAGGCCATATGACTGCTCATCTCCTGAGCTTGCATTTTGTATTCTTTTTCGGTACTCATTTTTGATGTCTTGTCGTATATACTGTATTTATATTGCATTGTTGAGGAACCTTTGACCCAAGTTTAGGACATAAAACCTTTGAGATCAAAATGACCACATGGTTACCACTTTATATTTATGACATGTAATCTTAACCTGTTTACATTCAGGGCATTGTGTACATTTGGTTTTCGCACCTTACTGATAATCGTTGTATACTGTGTTTACTTGCACTCTGTCTTACATTTCTCCTTAACTGCTACAAAGAATTGTGATCACCTGCTGCCCCGAGATGAACACTCACATTTGACTTCTAAGAGAACAATAAGCATACATTTTTACGAAATCATGTTATTGAATGACTGTATGGTGGGATGAATTTGGACACTGGTGATACTAGTTGATGGAGAAACTTTTTAAAACTAAATGTCTCTCTTTAATTGTTTGTATATCATTTTGTTAATGTAGCTTTTATGTTTTTTGAAAATCTACTAAAGAAAGTGTAAAAAAAACCTTCTGACTTCACATATCCTTTTTCTCCTCAGGTGGAGGAGAGGAAGCAGTCTTACTTGGACTCGTTTGACATAGTGTTGGTACAAGATGAGACCCTGGAAGTCCCCAATGCCATAATGCTCTACCTGACAGGCAATAAGTAAACTGAGCACTGCTGTTTTCTATTGTACGCTCCAGTGCCATCAGCCGAAGCTCAGAAGGTGCCAGTGGAAGGCTTATTTAGAATGTTACACGATTGTTTTACAAAACTCTTCACAAGTCCAGTTTACAGACACAGCTCACGTTCACCATGTCACCCTTTGATATTTTCCTCCATTGGCCTTCCGCTCATGTTTATAGTCAAACTGACCATACTGTGTGCGATGGGAGCCAGATTTGCACCGTCTACCTACTGTGCAGGATGTTTGGCGTGTGTGTGGTTATGTTTTTGTTTGTGTTTTTATTTGGGGGAAGATAATATTGTTTTTGTTAGTGGGTCTGTTTTTGTCTTCATATAGGATGTCATGATAAAGGGAAAAAACGCACAACATAAGTGGCAGCATTTGACATCTGGTTTGAAACCAATTCCTTACAATAAGCTCTTTACCAAATAAAGAAACTTGATCTTTTTCAAAAAGCGTTTTCTTACAGTATCAAGTCTTCCAGTTTCTGGACTCATTGTAAGTTTACAGTACAGGTTGTATTTGTTATGAACATTGTTACATTTTGCAATGTTTTTGTTAACATTATAAGGGGTTAACTCAAATACATCTGATTTTAAGCTTAAAATAAATAGTCATTTTTTAAATGTGGTGGAGTGCACAACGTCAAAGGTCAACGTATTTAAAATGACTAACGTCTATCTCATAAGTGTTGGTATTAAGATTATCATAATTTAGTATTTTTACATGAAGTAACCCTCAGTCAACGGTTGATTCAAAAGTGTGCACTGCAACAAACACATTTTTTTTTAATTCAATAACCACAGTTTAATAATTAATTTTTCATATGTGGATAATATGCCATTCAGTCATTCTGAAATAAAATAAATGTAGTTTGATTCTGTCCATGGAACCTATGTCACACATGTCATACCTCTACTCCTGCAGTTCTACACTTGTCTGTCAAATAAAACTGAAAAATGTATTATGATTGTGTGAAATAAAGTTTCATTTTACTACAAAACAGTTTATTTTATGTTTCACAACACATTTTGATAGAACATTTTATATAACAAACCTTCTGATATTATACAAAAAAGCTACTCCAACATAATCTGTACAATCAAGTGTTTTTTCATGTTTATATGAAGCATTGATTTCGTATTTAATAAAGTTATATTCTGGAAGAGGGGCCCAGCCCAAATGCTTTTTACGGTTTGTAAATGGAAAGATATCAAATTTGCCTCGTTCAACAGAACACAATTTCACTACAGACAATTGTTCTTCGTTTCACATTTTCACACCTGTTTCATGTTCACACATTATTGTAATAAAACCAAGTTAAAGGTAGGGTAGGTAAGTTTGAGAAACCGGCTCGAGTGCGCTAGAATTTGAAAATACACAACCGGAAAAAATCTGCCACTTCCTTACAGAGCCCCTCCTCCAACACACACGAACGCGCACATGACCAATGAGGGCACGAGATAAGTTTGTGCACAGATGGAAGGCTGACAGGCAGGTAGGCCATCCAGTTATTTTAGCCGGGCCGGCTAAAATGATTGGTCGTATTTTTTACAGTACTACGGCTTCCACAGATGACATTTTTTTATGGATTTTTTATCAAAGCACTTAAGATATTCATTGCTATCGGGATGTTAAGAGCATTCCATGGAATATAACAAAAAGTGTATCTCGAGCCGGTTTCTCAAACGTACCTACCCCACCTTTAAGTAGGACTGCCTTAAAAGGCTCAACAATGTTTCTATCTCCGAAGCATTTTCAAAATAGTTGCAGGACAGATTCTCATATGCCTGCCTGTTCCTCTCCACCAATACAATACAGAACGTCCCATTTACAGCTCGTCTCGTCTCCCTTGTTGAGACTCCCCCTGAAGTTTCAGTTCATCTTCTATAATCTTCCCGTCTTTATTTAAGTCCTGGTTATTGAACATGTCCTGAATGATGGTGTCGGCATCAAACCCTGGCCGCAGACGACCTTTGGCCTCTTCAACCTGGAGCATGATGAAGGCCGAAAACTGGAGGAAACAGGAGATGGTTGTTAAAACATATTCACTGTGTATATCCAGGCTGGATATATTCAGTTACTCTTACCTCCTCTAGAGGGACCTCTTTGTCACCATTGAGATCCATGGCAGGAAAGAGGGGGTCTGGGCTGTCCCCCAGCCACACAAACATGAAGCCTTCCGGAATACCTTTCTGCAGCTTCACTAGCTCCAGCTCGAAGAAGAGCACGGCGCTCCCGGGAACATCACCAGCTTGGGAACAAAAACAGAGCAGAGGAAATATGAGTTGGGGTAAAAAGAAAAGTGTGTTTAGAGTGAAGTTCATACTGACCTCCATTTTCACCATGTCCCCAGTGTGGTGGAACGACCACCTCCCTCCTCTCGCCGACACACATGCCTCTCAAACCTTCCTCCAGACCCGGAATCACCATATTTGCTCCGAGAGTCGTGATGGAGGGGGAGTCAAACTGGTCCCTGGAAAAGGACAGATAACTGGTTAAGACTATTAACAGTGGGGAGTTAACCTTTATGCATCAGGACATTTTGGCTCTTTCATTTTATTATAATTGTCGATGCGTCATTGATGCATATTGCATACATTTTAATTTAACTGTGTAGCCAACAAAGAGACAATCAGAAACCCCCCCAATTTGACACACAATTCTTTGATACCCGGGCTTTAAATCATCTCAATCTAAAGCTCTGGCTTCACATTTTTTATTTTTAACTGTTTTCCACAACATTGAGCTTGTTTTTAATGCTCAGGAATGTTTTGCCTATTGGGAAATGCCGCCGTCCTGTTTTAAATTAGGCATATCCCAAACTGTGAAAAAAATCTCCCTGGCATTAAAAACACAGAAAATAATAATTCATCAACAGTGGGATTATTTAAAAACTGGCATTTAAAGGGTTACAATTCAGAAAGAAATATTATGATAAAAAACTGAAGTAGGTTAAAAGATCTAACTTGAGGGAAAATAGAAAAATAATAATAATAAAAAAACACTTTTTTCCCCTCTAAGAACATTAAATCAACTTTTTTTAAAGGGATGCAAAGGGTTAAAAATGCTAATTAAAAACCTCAAATCTCAGAACCCCGAGCCTATGCAGGAATATGTGTTGTAGTCACGGATACATAAATGGAGTTATATCTGCAGTTCTAGTCCCACAATAAATCGATGATTACATGCATGCAGCAGCAGGGGGGTGCAGTGTAGCAGGGGGCGCTCACGAGGAGTACAGCAGGGTGCCGTCCATCAAGGAGCAGTTATAACGATACTGAATCAGATCATCAGCTTCACTGGTCACTGTGCATTCCTGGGGCTTGTGGGTCACTTTAATGTCGACTGTGTCTTCGGGGTTGTGGAAATCTATGACGTGAATGTCGAAGACCAGAACAGCAGAGCCAGGAATGAGGTCAACTGGGGGGGGGAAATAAACAGGACTAAGTGGTTTGTTGGTTCATACAAAGTGTCTTTTGATTTTTCTTAAAGGTCCCCTATTATACTGTTTTTCATCAATATATAATAGGTCTCAGATATATACAAAACATGTCTCTGAAGTGTTTGGCTCTAAACACCAAACAGATCATTGTAGCATCCCATAAACCCCTCTGTTTCAGCCCTGTTTCAAAAGTGCTGATTCTGGGTCTGTTACTTTAGATGAAAATAAGGAGCCACTCCCCACGCCCCTCTGAGAGATATTTGGTTAAAAAGAACACATTAGCCGCGTTCACACAAAGTACTTTCCTGTACTTAGTTCCGGCACTAAGAGCCCCGGCGCTTTTAACCCCAGGGCACTTAGTACAGATCGCGTTCACACCGGAGTACTTTTCCCTGAGGGAAGATTACGCAAATGAGCCGCTGACGTCACTTCTTCTTCTTCTGCTTTGGCTTTACTGGCAGGCCACAAACCACTTCACGGCGAGTACAGTAGGTGGCGGTATGCACCTTAAAGTTGTTTGCAATCCGTTGCAAAACAAGAGAAGAAGAAGAAAAACTTCCCGCGTATACTGCGACGCCCACCCACTCGCTGTACATTAGGCGTCTGTTGTTTACCTTCCGACCTCAGACATGATGGAGATGGAGTCGACTGAAGTTGTGCTGTTTGTGCTCATGTTATACAGCTTTGTAACTGAGTTAATGCAGCCTGAGCAACTTGCGTACAATAACAAAACAAGCCGAGCACGAGTGGTGGTGGAGAACGCTTTTGGCAGACTCCAGGTGGCAGCATGTTGCATATTACATAACCTTTGTGAAAGTAATGAGTACAGGGACGAATGGACTGCCTTACCGGCGACCCAGCTTTATGAGGCATCTGAACAGCGTGTAAATTGTAAACATTTTGACAATAAAGCTAATCTTTTGTACAGTGCTTTTGTTTCTCTTTTATTTTCCAGTCAAGACAGGCAACATTACAATAGTGTACAGTGTGGCAATATAATAACAATAAACTGTGCCAGGTGTGTTGTATGCACAGTAAATAGGCTCAGCAGCAAACCCACCGTTATTAGTATATATATATCTTCCTGAGACCCACTGCATCCGTCTGCCATAAACACTATGGAAACATAAATGTTAGTTTCGGCCCATAGTGGACTCCATTTTGTGTTGTGTAAAATGGGGGGGGGGGGGAATTAAAGGTTTGCAAATCCCCATGTCCTCCTCAGAGGACAATCATAAAAACATTTAGTTTTAGGTCAAATAATATTTAAAATTATATAAATGATCATATTTGTGTATGTGCCCCTGCCATTCCTCCACAAGGTTGCAACATTGATGATAAATAAATGACAAATAAAGCTTTGCCAGTTTATAACCGATGAAACATGATGGTATCAGAATAATCACTTACATGTGATGTATAGGATGCTACACAGGTCACTAAAGATAAAGTGTCAGGAGAAATAAGCAAGCTACAGGATCTGTTTAACAGTAAATAGAAGTTCACATTTTTTATGTAAATAAAATAGAAGTTGTACATGTAAATTAACATTATCAATATAAAATAAAGTGTCAGTTGTATCAAGACTATATAATAACAGTAATAACAATAATATAAAATGAACTGGTGAGCATCTTGTCCTCCGTTTCCTGGGCCTTGGTGAACAGCACCATCTGATCCCTGTGCATCGACTCTTTCACCACGGCACGCCGGTCCTCCAACGCCTGGACGGTGTCAAAGAAATTCGCATCCCGTGTCCGCTTTCCTAAGAGGGGAAAATAAGCAAGATACAAGATCTGTTTAGTCGCCATGTAGTTTTACAACATACTAGGAATGTGTTTTTTGTATTTTCACAAATAGAATTAAGGTTTCACAAATCTGAAACTGTTATAAAGAATCTTTTGACTCTCTGGGATAATCCAGTCCAGATTTGATGAGTCTAGGTATAGTGGTTTTAGATCAGGACCTGGTCTAATGTGGTCTACATGTAAAAAAAGCACTGAAATCTCCCTTTTTTGTATTTTTACAAATAGAATTAAGGTTTCACAAATCTCAAACTGTGTTATAAAGAATGTTTAGCCTCTCTGGGATAATCCAGTCCAAATAAATCGGCTATGCAGCGATTTAAGAGGTTCAAACACGGAGGATTGTGCTTCATGTATGCTTGAATTTTGTTTAATGTTGTTGAGGCAAGTTTTCGTACCGGAAGCCATGTGACCTCTAGCCCGGATGTTTACAATGTTTGTGAGAGACATTTGTAAATGCCGGTCTAGGCGAATACGTTTTCACGCTGTTTCATAATTGTACCAAGAAGGAAATAAACATGATTGTGAACATCAGTTCAATGCGTAACGTTCTTTCAAGACAAAGTTACAGTGTGTGTACCTTTGCGTTTGGTTGCTGGTAAGGGGGACGAGCTAGCGCTGTGATCTAGAATGCAAAGCTCGCTTGTTTCCAATCCCGAGAGTTGTCCATCCTCGCCTGAAACAGACGATTAGTGCCATGAGTTAGTGAAGCAAATTACAGAAACACTACACAGTTATTCACAAGTCAAAACGTTTTCATACGGCCGAGAATATCTAGCTAGCTAGATGTAGCTAGCTCGGGGCCGGTGTTAGCCTATTCCGCCTAGCATGGCTAGCTTGATCTACTGAGCAAATAAAAGTACATCTGAGACCATTATTGTGCAGATTAAAACCCCAGTGCATGTAGTTGATTTTACCTTCGTCGTGGTCGTCATCGTTGGCCACTGAATCCGCCGTTTGTAGTCCTGCCCGAGTTTCTTTATTTTTAGCCGGTGTGTGCCGTGGGGCTGTGCACGATTCCCAGGTCGAGTGAAAGCTACTGAACTGGCTTCAGTAGCATTCCCTGGGTCGCGTCCTCGGCGTAGATCTCCAGAAGCGCCGACACCTCCTCATCATTTCTTGATGCTTGCCATAACTGCTTTCAAAAACAACTCCGTCGGTGCGCTGGATTTTTGTAGCGAGGAGAAACAATGGCGGCTCTACAAAACATTTTCACAGTTCTACGGGGCGTGGTTTGCAATTCGCCCAGCCAATCAGCACTGGGGCACTTTTCACCCTCAGGAAAGTACGCTCTCTCAGCTGGCTCTAAAAATGGGGGTAAAAGTACCTGAGATTAAGTACGATTTTTGGTGTGAACGCGACATAAGGGGTACTAACGGAACTAAACGCGAAAAGTACGGTGAAAAGTACTCCGGTGTGAACGCGGCTAATGGTGCTCTAGGAGGAGATTCAGGTGATAAGGTGGGGGGGGTTACCTTGGTTGGTGATTGGCTAATGGTTACACAAGCCAAAAAATCGTTATGACCTCATAAAGTGGCCAAAATCTGATCAGCTCATTTTCAGACAGGTTTTTATATAAATGGATCAGGACAAAAGAGAGCGAACCTTTTTTCCTGAAACTTTCAGAATCTCTTTACACAGAGGGGACACATGCTTATGTATAAAAGACATGAAAAAGTGGATTTTTTTCACAATAGGTGACCTTTAAATGCATTTGTCCAACTCACCAACTCCTTCCTCGCCGTACGCCATGTGAGGAGGGATGGTAATCCTCTTCTTCTCTCCTATGCACAGCCCATGCAGGGCTTTGTCCATTCCTGGGATCACGTATCTCTTGCCGATGTAAGTGTTATAGGTGCTGTTCCGCTTGTAGCTGTCAAGAGAAGCGTTACACTCGGTTATTTTCCAGTTATATGTTATTGCTCTCCTGGAAATGGAATCCCATGTTCACCTGGAGTCGAAGGCGGTGCCGTCCTGGAAGCTGCCGTTGTAGTGGTATCGGATGTAGTCTCCAGACACCGTCCTGCGGGTGCAGCCTTCAGGCACCTCCTTCACCACAAAAATGAGATCATCTTTAGGGTTGAACACATCCACCAGCAGCACCTCAAACACCAGCGTAGCCTGAGGAGGGACCGAGGTTCCTGTTGGAAGAAAAAACAAAATGCCTCTTTATTTCAAATTCTAATTTGGTATGTAGTAGGGGGGAAGTAGTGGAGTACAAATACTTCGTTACTGTACTTAAGTACATTTTTCTGGTATCAGTACTTTACTCCACTACACAACTTTTTACTTTTACTTCTTACATTTTTATCACAAATACCTGTACTTTCTACTTCTTACATTTTCAAAACAGGCTCGTTACTTTAGTTTTAATCTGTGTTTGGTGGCGTGATCATTATTAGTTAGAGTCATTGCGTGCCTATTGATTTGAACACGATCCGTGTATCCTTCATTTCCTGGTCTTCTCTAAAGAAGAGGGACCAATGAAAACGTGGTAATTTTGCCGTTGTTCAGCATCGAAACATTCGTTAGCTAACAATGACATTATTGTTCTATTAATATAAAGGGAGGTCAGGACTCTTTAAAACAGATGGTAGTTATGGGTACTTTTTACTTAAGTACATTTCGAAGCCCATACTTCTTTACTTTTACTTGAGTAAAGAAGTTTAGTCAGTACTTTTTTAAAGTATTTTTAAACACGAGTATCTGTACTTCTACTTGAGTAAAGGATGTGTGTACTTTTGCCATCTCTGTTGGTATGTGAAATGATAAGCTATTAGCCAACTTTAACTCAAGATGATTTATTAGTTAGTACCGTGGCCAGTCTCTCCATACGCCAGGAAAGGTGGGACGATGATGATCCTTCTCTCCCCGACACACATGCCCAAAAGCCCCTCGTCCATGCCTTTGATGAGGTCGCCCTGTCCCAAGTAGGCGTCATAGGTTGAATTCCTTGCGTAACTAAATCAAACACAAGGCAGGTGAGAATGGAGGAATCACACAACAGTCACCTTAATGTTAGAACCTAACCTCACCTGGAGTCGAAGGCTGCACCCGACAGCAGGGTGCCGTTATAGTGGTACCGGATGAAATCTGATGTATTTGTGGTGCGTTTGCAGCCTGCAGGTTTGCCGAAGGAGCGGATATCCACCTTGTCCTCATTGTTCCAGATGTCCAGCAGGAGAATATCATACACCAACACAGCGTCAGGAGGAATTACACCACCTGGGAGGCAAACAGCACAGATTTGGCCAACACCAGTACAGATTATGCATCCAACAAAGGGCTCTTAATCACCCATAGGGTTTGACAGTTTGAATCTGGATGGAGTCAACGATCACTTAACCATGGTTGAAAAGTTATGAAATCTATACATCATCTTTAAGATACGCTAATATTTTTAATTTCCCATGTCACATCGGTATCACTTTCAAGTGCACCTCGTGGAGACCAGTAATACATATTTTATGAGTTAATGTAAATGGAACTGATTGTGTTAAATGGGCATGATATATATCTTATATCAATCGTAACCTCTTCTAATTGAATAGATTTGAAAATATTTGTAAATGTGATATTGGATCCTTAGCCAAAGACTCTATAATATAATATCATTTTGTGAAGAAACTTGTCATCATGTGTTTCTTCACCTGCCCCAATGCTCCCATAGGCCAGGTGGGGGGGGATGGTGATCCTCCTTTTCTCATTGACACACATGCCCTGAATGCCGCGGTCCATCCCAGCGATCAGTCTGCCAAAGCCCACCTGGCTGATGAGGGCCTTGCCTCGGTCATAGCTGTAAACAGAGAAGAGAGTAGGATGAGAGGGTATAATCAATGGAAACCACTGAAGGTAGTTAAGTAGGTTGAAGGATCCAATTAGAAGGCAACATAAGAAAAAAGTAATGTTCTATTGTAAAAAGCTAACGTCATGGTGCTATGAAAATGTTATGGTGATATAAAGTAAGCATTCAATGTTCCATCCACATTAGCAGTATTATAAAAAAGGACAATATGGGCCTCATGGCTGCATCATAATCAACCATTTTTTTTAAATATTTAAACTTTAAAAACTGGGAAGTCAACAAAAGACACAATTGATTTTGAATACTTAATTAATGCCTAGATTAAAGTCCTTTATTTATATAGTTGCATTGACAATTTCAATGTGATATGGCGATTGACACGTCTGCAGTTGTAATCTCAGTAAATGATCTGTGAATCCATCAGGAAAAATGGTCGCATTTCGATGCCGTATTGTCTCCAGGAAAGTAAATAACAACCTTATAAAGACATTCTTATCCCACTTTGCAACACAATTTCTGCAAGAGCTAATATGACATGGTGCATGCTGGGTTCCATTATACTTTTGCAGATGCATGTGAGGTTTGATGTTACTGTAGCTCGTTGTTTACTTCACAACATATGTAGAGACAAACTTAAGGCTGTGAATGAGCTCACTCTAAACTAATTGTATTTACATTCAATTATGTTTTTTGCTGTAACTGCACCTGGAGTCAAACTTTTTCCCGTCTTCAAAGAAGGTTCCGTTAAAGTGATAACGGATAAAATCGTCAGTCCCCACTTCTCGAGGACAAACTCTCGGTATGTCGTACCGATCCACAACAACGTCCAAAAAATTACAATAAACAGTAAATACATGAAGGCAAAATAAAGCACTATATATTAACAGATCCATTTGAGCAGTTGTGACAATAACTGCGGAAGAGAGTCTGTAACGGGGAATGATGAGGTTAAAGAAGAGTGGAGAGAAGTACAGACAGACGAGTGGGTCAAGACTGTCGAGTTGAGACGGACTACTTCCGGTTAAAATTACAAAAATAAAAGCCTTCTACAGGCAGAGGTGGAAGTACTTGAGTGAAAGTAGAAGTACTAGAGTGTAGGAATACTCTGTTACAGTAATAGTCCTGCATTCAAAATGTTACTCAAGTAAAAGTAGAAAGGTAAAAGCATACAAATGTACTTAAAGTACCAAAAGTAAAAATACTCATTATGCAAATGTATCAATTTCAGAATAATATAAATTATATGTTTTGATTATAATTATTGATGCATTAGACTAGATCACTTTGCATGCTGCAGGGTAGCTTGTGAATTTACTCCAGGTGTAACTAAAGTCTTATAAGTGTTGAATATATATTTCACATCAATAAACCAAATCTGCAAGTAATTAAAGGTATTAAAGAAATATAGTCGAGTACATGATATACCTCTGAATTATAGTGGAGTACAAGTACAAAGTAGCATAAAATGGAAATACCAACCACATTTCTTTCACACGTGAATGCTGGTTGAACTACTGTATACGATCAAGCTTGGTAAAAACACATTGGAATAATTCTGGTCAATATTTCTTGTGTACATTTTCAATAACTTCACAATAGTAAGTACTAAAAAGTACTATTAAATGATCCCCTATTGGTTGCACTTCACTAATACGTTATACGTTTTTTTTAGTTTTGTATTACTATTTAACAGTGTAGTGCAACAAAAATGCTTTGCCACATCAATGATCTACTGCTAGTTGTGCTACACTGGTAACATATATGCTTTAAACAAATGTTGGTGTGTATTTACATTTAACTATTTTCAACAACTTCACTCTATATATTTATTTAAGTAAAGAGAAAAAGCATTTACTTTGTGCTTTTACTTTGGACTGGAAACGACCCAACTTCCGGCCTTTGTTGTCTCTGTCTTGCTTGACGCATCTTGGGATCGTGAACTCCTCAGAGCAGCAGGAGGTGTGGCCGGGCCCCCGCCCTCTTTTTAATGGAATTCTGCAAACGTGTAATGCCTGGCCCAGAGGCCTGACTGCCCCCATAGTCTCACTCATGAGTTGAGCCGAAAATTATAACTCTGTAGCATCTGAAGGTAATCTTTAGTTTCAGAGAAAAAAGTTTGGCATACTGTTATACTGCAACTTTCAATCAGTTATTACACACTTTTTGGAGACTTCTGTCTGAATCACAATAAAAGGCCCTGGGTCCTAATAAGCATCATACTCAGAGTTCTATCAAAACATGCCTAGTCTGATCTTTATGAATGTGGAATGATACAGATATTGCAGACTCAGGTGTTATATTTGCCCAAAATCAAACATGCACATTTTTTTTTATCTCACCAACCCAAGTCTCAGCCTGTCAGTTTGAGCCTCGGAATGTGGGCAACCAAGATAACTCTTAAAACTCTTTAGACAAATGTTCAGTCAATATTATTTATGAATACACCATATTCCCACAGTTAGAGAGCTGCAGGGAACATTAGTTCAAGTATATACAAATTAAACGACTAGATCCCTGTTTTTAAGTTACATTTTTGTTCAGGGTTCTGTTGAGTGTTATGACCCTGTAAATCACTGAGGAAGCTGGACCCTATGTTATTTTTTTTTACCAGGTCCTACCAGTCCAAATGCTCTCACGTTTGTCAAGCACAACATATTTATCACCATGTAAACCGGAAGTAAGGACTTGTTTTTTCAAGGTAATTGAAAAGAGTATAATGGCTTTAGGGCTGGCAGAGACCATTTTACCTGATTAATATTGCAAGTTTTTTTTTTAATAAGTATCTTGATCAAAATTATTTAAGTAAATAATAATAGAGAAGTCTACTGCAGGCCAAAAACAATTACTCAGAGATGAATAAATGCACACATTATGTTCCTGTTTTTTTTAATTAAATGAATGCCTTGTGGAAGTATGGAGTGGAGACAAACCACATACAATATCTAAAACACTCAGCCTGCTAAGTGAGACTTGTTTCATTATAAATATATATGTGAAAATTGGGGTAAATGTGCCCAAAATAAAAAAGATCCATCAAACAAATCAGTGCAACTTTTATTTTGAAAATCATAGCCAGAAGTTCTTGTTTTCAGCATCTGGTTTGCCGCAGCTTTCACATACGTGCAAGCAGACATGAACATTCCCTGGTGAAGAAAGGAAGTTTCCTGCTCCATTCAAAACAAGAACTCCTGCTGGAGCCGGCCGAGGTAACGATGCTCCTGAAGGGCTTGTTTCTGGCCCTGCTCCTCCCGGCCCTGGTGCAGGCTCAGTATGAGAAGTACAGCTTTAAAAGTTTCCCCCAGAAGGACATCATGCCGCTGGACTCCTCATACAGCTACGCACTGGAGCAGTACGGGGCCGAGAAATGGGCAGAGAGCATCAAGTTCCTGGAGCTCAGTCTGAGGCTCCACCGGCTGCTGCGGGACAGCGAGGCGTTCTGCAGCGGCAACTGCAGCTCCGTGAGCCGGGACAACGGCTCTGTGTCCGCCGACAGCAGCCTCCGCGTCGTGCGCCACATCCTCCTGAGGGCTGCGTGCCTTAAAAAGTGCAAGGCGGATTTTCCAGTGTTTAAAATCTCATACCCACGGAGGGATTTACTGGAAAGTTTCGAGAAAAGAGTACCGTATCGGTACATACAGTACGCACATTTCCAGGTGAGAGCAAAGGCTTGATGTGTCGACATTTGTGCCAAAGACTGGAATGCAAAATAAATGTAGGCCTACGTTATGAAGTTACACCAAAGTGGATGTTATAAGAATGTCAAATAAATTGCGATGTGGCTGTTATGATGTAATTAGAATGTATAATAACAGTAGCATACAGTAGCCTACATGTGATTGAGCATTACCATAGCTGTGCGTTACGGGCGCTATTGCACAGCAAAATCATTTGCAGTCGGTTTCCTAAAGCACATTGACTGAGTTTGACTCACGGAGAGGTAATATGTGGCTGGTCGGTGTGCTGTATAGTTTCCCTGCTGCTTTGTTGCTCCCTCCTGCTGAGCGAGCCGGAGTTGAGCATGTGCCACGTCTCTTCCAGTGTTCCCCCCAAACAACCCCTTATTATTCTCTGCCGGCAGGGTGATGGGGACAGGTTACAAGGCAAAAACACTGACCTTATTTTGCTTTTCATAAAGTCTTTAAAGATCTCCAGGTAATCTTCATGTCATTGTGAATACACAGCCACCACCACAAGCCCTTTAACTGTGCTGTGATCCTCCATACACTAAATTAAGTTATTGACATGACACCATTGAATTAGAATGAATTGGAATAGTTTATATTATTCTTGTAAATTCAAAGGTGAATCAAAGCTCTCAATATGGTGATCAAAAACCCACCCATAAACTTTTACATTACTTTGATTTTACTCACTATTTTTGTTTTACAACCATGAACATAAGCAATTATTATAAGTATCAGTATTTCTACCACATTTCTGCATAAAGCACCACAGTAGTCTTTTCACTGACTCAACAAAAAATCATATTCTGACATCAGTGGTCCATGATGATGTCAGTATGAGAGATGATGTTTCATAATTAAATGAATGTAATACCACAAATGCTTTGATATCCATTGTAAAGCGTATCTACTCTTCCTCAGATGAACAACTTGGAGAAGGCCGTGTCAGCGGCTCACACCTTCCTGAAGAAGAACCCAACTGATCCCTATCTGATCAAGAACATGAACTACTACAAGACACTGTTTGATGTGGAGGAACATCTCATCGACCAAGAGGAGCAGCCGTATGAAGTTTGTAGAATAACATTGAAGTTATTATCCAGTGGACGAATTAAACCCATGCTAAACTATCCCTATCCACACGTCTCTCTTTGTTATCCAGAGTGTTTTCGTGAAAAGTGTGACGCTTTACAACAGCGGTGACTTCAGCAGCAGTGCCCGAAACATGGAGCAGGCCATCACGCAGTACTTTGAAGTGTACAGTCTCTGCTTGGCAGGCTGCGAGGGCTCATATGAGATTGTGGAGGTCAAAGACTTTTATCCCACCCTGGCAGGTAAGGCGACAAACCCCAGACTTAAACACTGTTTAATTGAACTGGTGAATTCTGAAATATTGGGCTCTTTGACTTATATAACATCTTTCAGACTACTGAAAAGGAAACATCCATTATACTTCAGGACGAAAAACTTTTTAATGTTACTTATCATCTGGGGAAGTTTCATAGTGATATCTATCAGTTGAAATGTGTACATATTTTTTATCTGAAGTGTGTCCATGTAAGAAGAAGGTAATTTAAAAGCTGTTTCTGTTCAGAGTGTTTTAGATACTAAATAATATGCTTGTTTTTTCTCCAGATCTTTACACTGATGTGCTGAAATGTAAGGTAAAATGTGAAGAGCACCTGAAGCCCAACGTTGGAGGCTTCTTTGTGGAGAAGTTTGTCGCCACCATGTATCACTACCTCCAGTTCTCCTATTATAAATGTAAGAACTATGACTCTGGATTCAGGCTTTTGACAGCAGTATGTGTAGGATTGTTTTAAACACATATTATTTTGTGGTCCTTTACAGTGAATGATGTAAAGAACGCTGCTCCGTGTGCAGCCAGTTACATGCTGTTCGACCGTAATGACCAGGTGATGCAACAAAATGTAGTGTACTATCGCTTCTACCGGGAGCAGTGGGGACTCGAGGAAGACGACTTCCAGCCTCGGCCTGTGAGTGAAACAAAGACCTCATTACTCTTCTGGGTGAACCAGAGGCAGCAGAAAGTGTTAGCACATTTAACACAGGCTGTTTTTGACCGAAGAAGAAAAACTATAGCATAAAGCGGTCTTGGCGTTAAGATTAACACGATCTCAGGGTGGTAATTAGAAAGCCATGTTTTCCTGTAAAAACACTTGTTTCCTATATTTGTTCAGCTTGTTGCAGAGTTGTCAACAGCTGCAGTGTACTAGCTGTTTTTCTTCTGAAGCTGCCCCAGCCTCAATCAAATGTGGCACTGTTGTAAATACTTTAAGGCTTCCACAGTGAGAGGCAGTAAACAAAAGGACACCAGGCCAACATTTTTTTCCTTAGCGGCGTGAAATAAAACAGGCTTTGGCTTGTTCGTGCCTTCTGCTGGGGTCAACACAAGAGCTGATGTTCTTTTTGTTTTTCAGGAGGCCCTGAGGTTCTTTAACGAGACAACCAAGCAGAAAGAGATGCTGGAGTTTGCACTGAACTACCTTCAGACTGACGATGAGGTATGTTTCTACTGGGCAGCAGAGTGATAATGTTAGCTCAGATGACTTGCTTAATGTCTGGATAATTGAGTTATCCCATGAAAATGTCTGTAAAGCAAGCCTTTGTAACTTTTGTTAAAACGGCACCACTGCATACATAAGTGTCAATTGTAAAAATAATGTTAAATGCTTAATCAGTGTAGCAGTAGCTGTAATATATATCTACCTTATGTCTGCTAACATTAGCAACCATAAGCTAATTGTCATACCAGACTGTAGCTGACAAACTGTTGAGTGTATCATACATCTATGTATACATTTTTCTATAAATTCACAATATATTACAGAATCCTTATTAATATATCATCTGACAAATGAAAGTTAAAGGACCATTTCACCTAAACAAGACGTGTAAAATGACTTACCCCAAGTAGCGGTATCAGTATGATTTTATCTGATGACGTTTTCAGATGTCCATTCCAGAGATTCTTTTTTTAACTGCACAAACAAAATTCCATCAACCTCTATTGTGCTAGAGTGGCGGCTAGAGTCAGACATCTCTAAACCTCAGCAGATAAAACTGTCTGCATGACTAGACAACCTGAGGGGTGCTCATGTATCCGAATGTGAACTGACACTTGAACTTGTCTCAACAATAACTAAAGTGGATGTTGTAGTGTGAGTCTGGGCTTTTCTTTTGTTTATTAAATAATTTAAAGAGGCCCTATCATGCTTATTTTCAGATTTATCGGATTTCTGCCTCTACTGTGATAAGTTTCCATGCTTTAAAGTTCAAGTGAAACTCTCTCTGGAGGGATTTTAGCCTTTGCAGACCCTTTACATGAACACAAACCTATAGCACACACTACAGGAAAGAGAAATCACCAAGAAGCCTCTTTAAAATATGTTTGGGGATGTAAACTTTTACTATGCAGGATTTAACTAGCAGACTGAATGCAAGCTGCTGTTGAGGTTATGGAAATGGGAGCAGGACAAAAAAGTCTAAGAGGATGAAAGAGATAGAAAGAGGGGAGGGAGGCTGCGGAAGAGAAAGCAGGAGGGGGGCTGCGCTTTCCGCCAGCAGCGTGTGGTATGTGGCTGAGAGGTGTTGGCCACTGAGGCTGTGCCACATCCATTTAACTCCGTCAGCCCCTCCCACCCTGCCTGGACCTGAGGCTGCGGGGGAGGACGCAGAGAGTTTAAACTGAATTACAGGGTGCACAAGTGACATAATTACAGACATGAAAAGGAGAAAGTAGGTTTTTGCCAGATAAAATGAAAGAATGTAAGATGATCGATGTTGACTGTGAGTACTTTGTGTTATCTTTTTAAGGACGAGGTGAGTCCAGAAGAAACGGCCTCCCCTCAGACGCCGCACTCTGAAGCTGAGTTCGAGGGGATGGGAGACTACGAGGAGGCCTTCCTGGCTGACTGGTGGCAAGAACCCAAAACTAAGTGGGACGCAGGAGAGGTTTCAGACTGACATCTGTCCTGGCTTCCTGTGCAGAACACTTCTTCATCTGGCTCTGTTCCACCTTTAATGGCGACAAACCAAAGAGTGCTGACCTCCATGCACACAGACACTGACATGCACAACAGTATTTTGCAGAAAAAGCACAACTAGGCTGTGTACTTTCATCCAGCTGAAGAATAAAACGACAAATATATCCATCATGTTGATCAGGAATCAGATTGACATATTGTGTCTGGGCTGCCATCAGCCTTTTTAAACTGTTATTGTATTATTAATAATTGGCCTCTATGCCAATACCTGTCAATGACTTTTATGCAGTTTTTATTTAATGAAAGCTGAATGCCTGTGCTGTGATTTAAGGAAGGTGATTTTGCTTTTGAATAACAATTTCTCATTCCTCAACTGGGTTTTTGTTGTAATAATTTGCTTATAAATAAAGTAATATTTTAATATACCTTTTTTGTTACTTAATATTCCATTAGATTATCGGAAAAGTATAAGGCGCACCAACCCTACATTTGATTGGTTTAGACTGGTTGAAAATAGTCAGATGCCTGTTCCACTTTCACAAATGTCAGGTCTTGCTGCTTTTTCTCATTTTTATTTTGTAAATTGTACCGGTTTTATCTATTTAGCCGGTTTAATGACAAATGAACAAATCAAAGACGCCAGTTTGGACTCTGAGAAACTAACAGTGATTTTTGCAGTTAATTGATTTTACAAAAAAAAAAATCTATTACATGAATTAATAACACAAATAATCGTCCGTCAAATATAGATGGATGATCTTCAAATTGTACATAATTTAAGTAAAAATATGAATGTTTAATTTTAAACCTTTGCGCCCTTATTTTTTTTATACCCACTATAATATATAATCATTATATATCACAATTATGAACTTTCAGAAGCAGAAAACCAAAGCATTGAAAAAGTCTAATCATTTATTAAAATCATGAACTTTTAACTCCTAAAAAAAGCAAGGTAGCCAGAGATGAAGGTGTGTTGTAAATGTTTCAGTATTTTATTTTCCTTCATTGTCAAATCAACTACAAGCCTTTAGTTAATTTCTCTCTTTTTGTCTCAATTCAAAAAGATTGTGTCTAAAAATATGGGATACGATTTATCCTCTCTTTTTTTTATTTACCTTAAACTTTTAAATCAAACAGATTGTATTTCATACCGCTGTACATTTTCTAATCACAATAGTGCAGCTGCCATAGTGCAAAGCTCAAATGAACCAAACTGACCTACGTACAGTTTCAGACGAGCTGCCTCCTGGACCCCCCCCCCCACTAGATCTCTTTAATCTCATTTACAGCGGGATCATTACAAAGCCTCTTGGTGGAGCTGTTCACCCAGGGCTCAGGGCTATCAACAAACGTACAAAATATCCTGGACATCTAAGGGACAGCTGGAATGATAAGAGTGAGAGATTCATGGACACTGTTGAATATTGGAGAGATCTGCAGATGTCTTGTCAGAATACAACTCATTATTTTAACATAGCTTTCAAATAAATCTTCATACAGTGCATTCAGTCATTCTTGCACATATTTACAAATAAGTGTGCATACAGTTGGCTAGTGCTCATTTTCTGTAGATACATTAAATAAAAACAGTTTCATTCTGTATTAATGTGCTGCCTTCCATGGCTGCAGCCCACAGCAGTTTGTAGAAAGAGATGATATTCTAAGGTTAAAAACCTGCCAATCTACTGTGATAGGAGGAGTGTTAAAGTGTACATGGACACAAACGGCCCCTAGCACTAATGTAAACACACATACATTCTTACTTTCTTTCAAAATCTCTTACATGCGTACATTCATCTGTGAACAGACATACAGATCCGACCTGGGAGAGGGTACAAACGTTGGGTCTGAAAGTGGTGAGCACACAGACAGATAAAAGTGGAATGTATGTCGGCTGGAAAACACTAAGTTACGGTCTCTGCTGCTTTGACGTTCAGTTGTTTTTAAAATGATCCCAAAACCATGACACCTTGCTTCCCTTTTTGTACCTGAAAACTTGCGTAAGGGGGCAGGTAAGATGCCTCAAGTTTAAAGAACAAATAACGATGAACATAAACTCGGTTATCAGTCTGGGATCTGGCTAGTGACTGACTGGTTTTTGAGCCTTCGGTTGACATTAGCCCTTCCACTCTTTGGAAAACATGCTAACATCAGTCCAGTGTTTTCTTTTCAAATTCATGGTGCCAGACTTGTGGATTAAAACAGACAATTGTCCACTTTGAGGGCCTGTCCTTTGAGGAACTGTGCCTTGGGTCATTTTCAAAAGAAAGCATTCAGCTCCTTTTACATTAGTTTAGTCTATTAAAAGAAGTCCAGTCTGTCCAACATTTAGCTGTGGACTCAGTTGGTAGCCAGATTCATTTGTATCCAGACAGGCAGGCAAGACAAGTCTGATATCAAATTGGACGTCGATATGTTCTTCATCAGACTGTTCAAAAGGAGGTGCACATGACACCGAATCACACTCGAAGAGCCACCAGACTGGAGGAAGACCCCGGTGTCTCTCAGGGGACGGACCCCCTGCTCGGGCCCACACACAGTCCTCGGTGGCGACGATGGAAGCAGCCACAACTAATCTGACTTGGCTGGTTTGGTGAATGGAGCTCCGCAGGGCCCGGATGGAGGACGGACGATAGGAGGAGACGGTAATCAGTAGAGGTTTGGAGAAATTTTAGATGTGGAAGACTCTTTTTTTGTTTCCTTCTTCTCTGATGTGGAAAAGGACACAGTGCGAGGAGGAAGACAGGAGTAGACAGGACAGACAGACAGAGAGACAGACACATCTTATCCTCCGCCAGATCTGAAAGAGAAGGGAAAACGGAGACAGGTAAGAGAAAGAAAAACAAACTGTGTAGGCGACAGGAGAGGAAGTTCATTTAGAAATGGGAAATGCTATTCTGCTTTGCGATGATAAAGGGAATATTATGGGATAAGGGACAGGAATGGTGAGTTTTTTAAGCAAGAATTGGAATGGGATGAAAGCAGAAGGAGCAGTGGGATGAACAGGACGCATGAGGCCCTGTGGGGACAAACCAAGGGAAGAACTTGAGATGGAGTAAGGATCCATGGTGAGGGATTTTGGGATGTTTTGTGATGCGGCTCCATGAACAGAATATCAGAAGTTTGTGCAGGTTATACCTTCCTCTCCGGATGTTCCTGCATCCAGTGAAGACACGTCAAGAGAAAAGACAAGAACAAAGACATGTCAATATCAAAAGGAAATTATGACAAACTCACAAATAATTACTTTTTTGAAGAAGCATGTAACGAAGCTGATCATAGTGCGTTCAAATTGCATGGAATCAAACAAACAAGCAGGCAAATCATTCAAAAGGCAGATGCTATTTTATCCCATAAACATTACCCTGTCAACAATGTTAAGTTAAAGCAAACAAAAGAACGGATATATTGCCACTTGAATTTGCATATGAAATCTGAATGAATATTTTATTTCCCTTTTAAGATTTAACAAAAATCTCAGTAATTCCTTCAGCCCATTATTCATCTTCCAGTCCTCTCCAAAACATGTTTAGCCAGATTACAGTGATGGCATCACATGCAGAATGTACAGGAGTCATTGCACTGACCCTTCAGCCCCCCCCCCCCCCTCTCTCTCTCAGCCCAAGGTCTCATTCGGATAACTTCGTACAGCTTCTCACATGCACACACTCTTACCTCTGGCCCTAAAAGGACTGGCTGCATGCCATCAGTTATAAACATTTTGTCTTCAAATAACAAGGCTTTTCATCAGCCTCGATTAAGAGCAGTCCTTTTAGATCAGAGTGTAAGGATTGAACCAGAGCAACATGCAGAGGTAGAACAGAGCAGAATGAGCGCATTAGGGGTTAGGATGCAGCCTGTAGGAGAACAACTGGGTATTGCGGGCTAAGGGAGCACCAACGGTTAAACACATATTTCAGAAAAAGCCTATTTAATTAAATGTTTTCATAAAAAGATAATAAATCTAGTGGATCCAAGAGAAGCTCTGCAGCAGTCTCTGGCAGATCAATGTCTCTGTCCTGCCCTTACACTAAAAGGGACGGAGAGGTACATGGTGTTCCTCAGGGTTTATTAATGGAAAACGGTGTGACGTTGCGTAAGGAATTTGGCGCTAAAAGCAGCATTAGAACAGACAAGCTCTGACTCCCTTTCCCCGGTTGGACGATGAGTTGCAAACGGGCATCTAGTGTTTCTGAGTGAGAGTGGGAGGAGCGGGGGTCCTTTAGGTAGAAGCAGACGAGGTACACAAAGGCATGCCAGAACTCTTACTTAAATCCCCATCCTGTCCCCCCTAGGACTATAGCTGCCAGGAGAATAGCACCTGCGATGGACCCTATTATGATATTGGTGCCACTGGGACCTGCGCAGAGGAAGGAGTAGGGAGGAAGGGTGCGGAAGAGGAAGAGGAGGGGCAGAAACAAAACAACACCACTAAAAAACACACGTTAGAGGACAGCATCAACACTGTACATCAACAACGACAACTAGAGAGAGAGAGAGAGAGAAATGCAGATGGTGGGATACCTGCAGACAGAGAAAGAGCAAATAAAAAACAGCCCACCTAAATAAATCAGTGTTGTCTATGTTAGGCAGGTTTGATTAACCTTGCTGTCAGACAGCCTGAGGGAAACTGAAGCTGTTATCCAGTGATGGAAGAAGTACTCAGATCATTTAGTAAGTACAAGTACAGATACTATGGTGTTAAAATACTCGATTACAAGTCGATTTACAAGTAACGTTTTTGTTTTTCAAAAAAAGAACGAAAGTATTACAATCAACATGTATGTCATCTTTATGCACATTGGTCAAAATTGCAAAAAGTGCATTAACTTACTTTCTATCACTGCTGTTATCTATGCTCTTGTCAAAGCCACCAGACTATATTGACAAAAACAGTCCTTTTAACTTGTAGAACAGCTGCTGCTCTATTACTCCCTTTTTCGCCTTATTTTGAGACTTTTATTATTTCGGATTAGCTAAAGTCACGCATTAACACAAGCTGAGTAAATGATCGAGGCAGTCTTGTTCTGCAAGGTTAAAGTGCTGTTTCTGTCAATAAAGTCTGGTGGCTTTTGAGAAAGCGTTGATGAATATAACGGCTTCAGTTCTATGTTGAAGAAAAACTGTCTGACAGCAAGGAGAAGTGGTGAAAATATTCAAACAGACATAGAACTGGCCTTTCTTTTAGGTTGCTACAATAACTTTTGCTGCATCTTCAGCAGCACGTTTATTTGCTCCTGTGCCCGTGCAACCACCATCTACTGTAGATCACACACTGACTATGGATGAGAGCATCATAAGACCCACTTTAAACAATCCAAAGTATCCCCTTTGACTTACAACCATCAGCAGAACTACTCTGTGTGTTTAAAAGGATGAGATACTGTGCTCTGCTCAGTACATAGAGAAGCTACAGGGATGATGGGTAGAGACTATGAGGGGGGTATGAGAGGCAGACAGAAAGAGAGACATGGGCAGGTGGGGAGGGGTATGGACCTTTCTTCTCTGGGCCTGTTGGGACGGTTGGCTCTGGGATGGGGTCGAAGACACTGCAGTCCTTGCCTGTGTAGTCCCTGTCACAGATACACTTCACTTCATTACTGCAGGTCTACAGAGAGAGACAGAGAGAGAAGGAGAGATTAGTGTGGTGTTCAATAATAGCTGCTAAGAAGAGACAAGCAGAGAAAGATCTTTAAACTACATCAATGTTTAAAACACAATGTAGCTAGTTAGTATGAAGTCGGTGAAATGCGTCATTCTGGTCCAAATATGTCACTCTTTCCTATGTGAAGCCAAACTGTTTTAAGGTTGGTTTTTTTCTTTGGGTGGATCTATGTTATTTTGTATTACTATTTTTCATAGTTATGCTTTGAAAATGATAAGCAATAGATTATGAATGCATCTAATTAAGTATAAGGTTGAGACACTATATTCTTGGTGGAACTTGGGAGCTTTGAGTATAAATAATCTACTTATATATATATATCTTTTTGTTCTTAACCCTTAGATGCACGAGTGACTGGACACTCTTCCATAAGTGGGTCAAAAAGGACCCGTATTAGAATAATATGTGTTTTTATGCCATTTTTGTCATTTTGGTTTGTTTGTTTGTTTGTAGCCTTTATTTAACCAGGTTAAAAAATCCCATTGTGATCAACGATCTCTTTTTCAAGGGAGACCTGCGGTACATTAGTTACACATAAAAACAACAGAAAACAAAAAGGACATCACAACATAATTACAGGGGTATACATTAGCAACCTATTCAGAGTGACAGGTAGCCAATAACATTTCATCCAGCCGTGCTTTAAAATGATGCAAGGGAATCAAAATGCTCAGTTTCAATGTTTTTTGCATAGTGTTCCAAGCCAGAGGAGCAGCGCACATAAAAGCTTTAGTACCTAAAACAGTCCTAGCACTTGGCACATGTAATAAGAACACATCCTGGGATCTCAGGCAATAGCTACTTGCGACTCTCTGTGAGATCAGAGAGCAGATATAAGAAGGTAGTTTACCCAGCATGGCTTTATATATGAATATGTACCAATGACTGAGCCTCCGAACAGTAAGTGAAGGCAGACCTGCCTTGGCATACAGGGTACAGTAATGAGTAAGTGCTTTACAGTTAGTAACAAATCTCAGAGCACTGTGATAGGCGGCATCTAACCTTTCCAGGCAATGGGCAGGTGCATTCATATAGATCAAATCACCATAGTCCAGCACAGGTAAAAAGGTCACAGTGACTAGCCTTTTCCTGGCGAGTGGTTAAGAGAAATCACTTGTATAATATTTAGTATTATATTTTTGGAAAAACGAAATTCCATAGAAAATGCATGCGGGTCATTTTTGACCCACTTATTGAAGCTTGGGGTAGTAATACAAGAACTACAATTTTTTTAAATTTAAATTTAAAATTTGAATGGCATGATATCCAAAACATGTTTTTTGAGGAATAGCTGGAATATTAAATGATAACAAAATGTAATTACAAAGATACTCTAAGAAAACCACCTCACCGGGTCAAAAAATACCCACTTATGCATCTAAGGGTTAATTTCAGTGTATACATACATACATTTGCTTTGGTTTGTCCTAACTTGGAAATGGCTCATATTTTTTTTATGAATGGTTTATATGTGAATTTAAATTTTAAGTTGAAAATGAAATGAATAAACTAAACTATGACCACTTTAATACAAATACTGTAGATATATGTTCCCCTAATTGTCACCAAAATGAGTTTCATAAATATGACAAGGCTGTTGTTTTAGATGCACAGGTATACCTTAATGGTGTATGTAACGTGTATGACTGTAAATGTTGAGTTGTGAGCTCAGGACTATTGTTTACCCCGTGGTCGGAGCAGATGCGCCCAAAGGTGGATCCCGAGCAGGTGCTGAGGTTGAACGCGGCCACAGGGAGGCAGCGTCGCTCCAGACACATCATGTTGGGCCCGCAGGGGGCGCCGTCCTCCACATAGCCCAGGTCGGAGCCGTCCTCCAGCAGAGCATGGCCTGCTCTGAGGGGAGCATCAAACATGTGAGACAGGTGGGAGAGCAGGAGGAGAACTACACATCAGATATAATGTGACCCACTGACCTGCAGTCCAAGTACTTGTTCTGGTGGTAGAGGGTGAAGCTGGTCACCTCCCCCTGCAGGTCTCCGAACTTTGGCTTCATGGTGACGTTGGCACAGAACAGGAAGCCGCATAAAACATCCCTACACAGGAGGAGTGATGTCAGAGAACAATGGGGGCTTTGTTCACAGAATTCAACTTGAATAAAAAAAATAGCTTCAAGTCAAGAACTAGAGCTAACACATGGAGCTTATTTTGGTGACTGAGTTATTACAAAGGATTTGTTTGCAACATAGTTTCAGGCAGTTTACTAATTATCCTCCATGTGTATGTAATACATACATTTTTTATTTGTTTAATTGTAGGTCATTAATCAGCTAACAGCAGTTTTGGTCTTTTCATGGAATTAGCTTACTACCATTTGGTAAAAACTGCACAAAATGCAGCTGAGGCAGCACAGTTTTTGCAAAAACAACAACATCTTATCCTTCTATGAAATGATCAGCAAACTCACGGCTTGTTGCACTGCAGCCAGCCCTGGCCCTCAGGACCCGGACCACAGTTTCCTTTCTCTGTCCCCTCAGCGTTCAGCTTCTCATAACAAAACCTGTCTGCTGAACCTGGGAGGAAAAAGAAAAGGACAATGAGACTACAAAGCCATAGATAAGAAAAAATACCCTTTACAACTATAATCTTCTTGTGCTCTATATACTTACTATAACCCCAGAGGCCCCTACACTGTCCATCACGAGTCCTGCATCGTCCTCCGTAACAGCGGCCCTGAAGAAATGAGGTAACAACAATCAAGAATACATCATAACTCAGAGTGAGCAGCAGACTAGAAAACAAACCTGCCTTTACCTGACTCGTATCACATATGTAGCCGTCCAGCTTGTGCACATTGTGAGGACACTGCAAGAGAAGAGAAGTACTTCATGTTCTGAATACTATTGTTAATCTTGTAGTTCTCCCCCCCCACATTGGTATTACATAACAGTAATCTGTACCTGGCTGGAGTCTCCGGTGCAGGTCTCTGGGATATCACAGTCGTTCACAGCCTCTCGACACACCACGCCTCTCTGCTCATACTATGTCACAGCATGAAAAGGAATCAGGAAAATGCTGGATATGAAATATTCATTAAACATTTCCATTATTTTTGCCTTTTATTCCAGTTGAACTTAATGAGTAGTTGACAGGATGCCTGGTTTCTAAATGTGGTCCAAAATAAATTACAGCATGCACAACACATTTTACTATTTTAAGTGGAGGCATTTCAAACGTGGTATTTTCTAACCCGACAGGTCACATTAATGGAAAAACCTGAATAAAAGAGCAGAGTAGCAAATGAGATACAGATACCTCCATGTGCCAGGGCTCACTGAATAATTGGTGAGTATAACAATGATGTGAATACGAATGCTTTGTCCTTTGAAGTGGCCAGATCACAACCCAGTTTCACAGTTAGAGAGCATCATGAAAGTGATCTCCAAAACCATAGTTTTTATAATAGAGCAATTATTCTTAATTTGATCCTATTAAAACTATTATACTATGATTGTCTCTGATGCTTTATGTCCTTTTCACATGCCTGGCGATGTTTGGTTTTATTTCTGCTGTACTTTGCAAAAGAGATCTTGATCTCAATACGATTACCTGATCAAATGAAGTTGGTATATATAAATGAGGGAACATGTGGTGGAGGAGGACTGGTGTTTATCCCTCCCATAAAGTTCCACAGACTTGAAGAAGATGCACTGCCGCTATTCTCGAGGCTTGTAGTAGCCTGACTCTAAACTAAGACACTTTATGGTGGTTTTTCCTTTCATTTGTCACCTATCATTTTACATCTGGTGCCCGTTGTTGATCCCCTGTCATATAAGTGGGCTCACCTTGCAGCGGCTGCAGCAGAGTCCGTTACTGCACATGGCATCGTGGGTAAGTGTGCACTTTTTACAGCAGGCTCCTCCGCTACGGGCGCACTCCTGCAGCCACAGATGCAAAACAAAACTTCAGCTCATTTCCAGAAAACAGCTTACAGTAAGAGCTGGCACGGTGTCCGACTGGGTACTCACCACCTGGGATCCACAATCACACTCTTCCCCCGGCTCCACGAAGCCATTGCCACACTCTGGAGGATCCAACAGCTGATGGAGACAGACAGGGACATATATCAGCACTTATTTATATAAGTGGGAGTCAGATGGACAAGAGAGGAAATGTGTCAGTTGTATAGGAGATGAGCAGAGATACTAATATGAATTATTGTAAAGAAGAAGGGAAGAAATTCAATTTAAATATGTGTTTCCAATGGAAATGAGACCACAAGAAAAATAATAATAACACTAATTATAATAATTAGAAATATAATTAAATATAATAATAATACAAAATTAAATATAATAGTCTGTATTATTACAATTTGAATAATAAGAGACACTTTACATGGTAATACAAAACAGAAAGCAATAACAGTAAAAATAAATATTAGTCATCAAATAATACAAGCAGATTTACATAGTTGAGTGTGTTTTGGAAAAAGGGCAGTCGGAGGGAGAATGTCATAAAATTCGTTAGTATAAAAATGTTATGCAGAGAGGCCGCTCCTCTCACCACATCCCATCATGCCCCTCACCTTGTTTGGCTTGTTGAAGAGGCAGCTCCCGCCCCCCTGGAGCAGGAACTGGCTGTACTCATCAACACTGCAGCGAGAGAACTTTCTGGGAAGATAGTATCTGTGTACACACACACACACACACACACACACACACACACACACACACACACACACACACACACACACACACACACACACACACACACACACACACACACACACACACACACACACACACACACACACACACACACACACACACACACACACACACACACACACACACACACACACACACACACACACACACACACACACACACACACACACACACACACACACACACACACACACACACACACACACGCGCAGACAGAGATTGAGACCAGGACGTGGCAGAAATGTCCCATCACTTTGCAATCGGACAGTAATTGCATGATCTGTAGTAGGATATTATACAAATGAATAATTCAAATCTGTATTGCACCATCTGGTCTGCAGAGACACATCTAAATCATGCATACTGTGTAGTAAATACTTCAAATTCAATATGTAATTCCTGGTTAGCATGCTGATGTTTGACATATCAACACATGTTCCTGTTGCATGAAATCCAAGCTGTGATTATCACAGGCATGGCTCATTGAAGACCGAGTAAAAGTCAAAGCATCCCTCTGCTACAGGTGTTTAATTCTCTAATTGAGTGAAATTAACGGAACAAATCACAGCTTAGGGTGAATGCGAAAAGAAACAGTCCTGCTGTTTAATTGTGTCAACAAACAGAGAAGAGATTTATGTTTTGTTTTTGTTTAGTTCAGTGTGCTATAATGAGGATATTTACCCCGTGTCTTCCATGATGCAGCCCAGCCAGGCGTCTGGACACCTGCAGTCTCCTGTGAGGAACACCAGGACGAAGAAGAGCACAGAAACTTCAATAAATAATGTCAAATAAATAACTTAGATCAGCATTTAACATCCGAGCTGTGACACTTCACATGCTGCAGCTCATGAGGAAGATGTATGATCTGAAAGGAATAGAACTGATGTCTATTGGCAGATAAATGGAGAGCCTATAGTGTGCGCTCCTGGCATTGAATAATGGACCTGATGGCTCTTCAACATTAATCACAGAGCACATTGTTCAGTTGCAGCGAGGCTCTAACCCCCACCCCCGCCTTCTTGGAGGCAGGTGACTAATCACCTAATGGAAAAGTCTAATTACAGACGAGACCTGCTGGACAAGGTTACCCACAATGCTCTCCCTCCCTGCCTCCATCCTTCCCCCACTGATCCTACCCTCTTGCTTTGATAATTAATTCAGTTCTACCATTAGTTTATAGATTTCTCTATCCTCCCCCATCCACATTCACGGTTATCTTTTACCTGCAGAGTTGCGCATGTTGTTCCACCTCATGCCGATGTTCTGGCCGAGACTCTGGCACAAAGTGATGGCCATCGCTCCTACATTCCCATACTGCAACAATCACACAGAGAGTCCACACAGGAGAGCTTTATGGTGAGATGGAGACAACACTGATATAAAACGCGTAAGGAAACTAGGCTTTTACCAACATGATGTTCTGCAAATCAGGATTAGAGGAAGATTTTAGCAAGAGAAGATCAATATCACAATACATAGCAGGCTAGCAGTTTGCAGTTGTTTCCATTATTTATGCTGAGCTAACGTACTGCTGGTTCAAGATAAATGTTTTACTTAAACACGAGAGAGATCAGAAGCAATCATCTCTTATAAATCTTCTTCTTAAATAGCATATTTCCCACAATGTCAAACTATTTCTTTAAATCAAGATTAGCTAACAAACTAATTTGAAAACCTATAATATTTAAAATGCAAACATTTCTTCATCTCTTGATTTAAACCTGGCAATGTGGAAACAGACTTTACCAACAGTTGTACCTCTGAACTCGACTGGTTCAAAAGAAAAAACCTTTTTCAAACTTAGATTCAGATAAACCTCATGTTCTAATATACAATGGAAAATAGATATATTTGTAGCTTTCCCTCACCTCGTTGATGCCCCCTCCTCTTGTTAGAGAGCACACCCCCCCGGTGTAGGCCGTCCCACTGCGGCTACTGTGAAATGTACGCCCTCTGAGGCGCAAAGAAAAGATACCATCGTTTAGAATAAAACGTATGAAGCACCCAAAAATCATCCAAGCCTTAAATCTCCAGATATTTCAATTGCCTTACGAGAAAAGTTGGACGAGGTCACTCTGATCTTTGATGTTGTCCTTCCTGTATCTCATGAAGTTCTGCAGCGTTATCAAAGGATCTTCCATTACTGGCATCATATTTTTAGAGGTCCAGGTCTCCATGGCAACCAGCACGATCCGCGTGTTCAACTGTTCCTTGTAGATCTGAGGACGGAAAAACCGCCATCACTTTCCTGCTTTGTTGGTGCGACACCTGTGCTGTCAACACTCTTGTGTGCTATCTGGCATGAATCATTGGAAATAAGAATCATTGGAAATAAACACACACTTCCTGACAGGTGGCTGTGTGCTGAGCAAGCAGAGTTTAAGAGAAGGAGGACTGTTAAACAAAGCTCTTACCGCATCTGCCATGTTGACCACTGCTTTGGCAAAGTTCTTGGTTTGGCTGCTGGAGCGACGCAGCTGTACAAACTGTGGAGACACAGAGATACACAGATGGTGTGAGAGATCTCCTTCAATCTCTCACACACAAAGGAATACAGACAAACAAATATATAACTGATCCAATCCATCCATATATCCGTAAATTCATCCAACCATCAGTCCATCCATCCATCTATTCATTCATCTGTTCATACATTTATACATCCATCCAATGTCTCCGGCAGCCAAAATGTAGCTTTCATTTTCATTTGTCTCCAGATCTCCCTATTAGATCTAGGTCCTGTTAAACAGCCTCATTGACTCAGACAATTGTAATTTCTCTGTACGACAAAGACCACCAGTGCAGATCTGACGTCTAAACAATCTTAACCGGAAAGAGTACTTTTTTACTAACCATTTCGTTGTCGTTGACCACCATCAACTCAATATATTTGGTCTCAGTCTGGACAGAGGGTTTGCGGACAGATCTCTTGGATCGCCTCAGCCCCCCTGACACCTGCTCTTCTGTGGTTTGGTCCGGTCTGTCGTGATCACCATCACCTCCTCTGCTATCCCACTCACTGTCCTCTGTACAGTCTGGACACACAGAGAAGCTCCAGGCACTCAGAGCAACACTACTTTTTTAAATGCTGTATGGTACAGTGCAAATATTTGTATCTACATTGTCAGTCAAAGATTTAAAGATCCCAATCTAAAAGCTGTGGCAGTAATTATCAACCCTTCTGAATTAATCAAAATAACTGTCTGAATTGTACATGGGTGTATTAGGACCATTGACTACGGCTTTGTATTCAACAATTGTTATTCCTACAGTACATAAAACCTACGCCTTTGTTAACTTTTCTCTTTCACTGATGTGAAGAATTCCTCTCTTTGACCTCAATGAGAAAATAATTACTTTTTGTATATAGGAACATTTTGGAGTGTTTTTGTACAGTGACATAACAGTACCTATGAAATATTAAGCAACAGTGAATTTGAAATGATTGCAACAGTGGAGTGAAGTGAAATCTAACTTGAGGCACTGCGGTTATATTAAAATCTAATTAAGATGAGAAGATTAGAAAAAATACTTGCAGTATTATTCTGATGTGATGCGAGCGTCAGTAGTTTGTTTTAAATTCAGTAATTTACCTGTGCAGTGAGGGGAAAGTCTGATATCAGGCATCCTGCGGAGTAAGTGAGCACCATCCTCCTATAACACAATAAATACAGATGACATTACACACATTAGTACCTCACAATTCAACATCCAGATCTCAACATTGTATTAATATCACTGATTTACCTGATTGCTTCCATTTTGAACAGGCTCAATACCGTAAGAGAAGAAGCCATCAGAGAACATGCCGCTAGGAACCAAGAGAAGGGTGGTGAGATGCAGAGCAGAAAGAGACAGAAAACTCGTAAATGAAGTACAGTTCATAGGAAATGTGTTTTTTAACAGGATAACAAATGTGATATTATAAATAAAGGTTTACTGTGGGGCTCACCACAGGCCGTGGCAGGTGGAGAGCGCTGCCCAGGACTCGGGTAAACCTCGTAACCTTCCCTGGTAGTAGCAGTGCTCTCCTCCCTGTGGACACAAGAAACAACCTCTACTGACACACTTCAGGCTCACTTTTATTCTTCATTGGATAGTATAATAGGTCAGCCCTGAGTAGAAAACCTCCGCAAAGGTAACTCCCCTCTCCTTCTTTCCACACTCGTGCATTTACGGCACAGTTTTTGACCTACTTGTGTCCTGTTCTCTACCCCACTCTTTTCTGCTTCACTGCCAATAAAGGTGGAGGTAAGGATCTCTTCAATAAATCATCAATCTTGTTGCCCACACAGTTAGATCTGAGAATGTAACATGGGATGACTAGTAGGTAGGTTGCAACTGAAAAACACAGGGGGAGAGAAAAAAAAGAAAATCGTGCTCTACTCTTTCCTGTCCTAGTAACCTTGAAAACCACGATAGAGCGTTAGCTTTTGCCTCCAGCTAACATTTCCTCAGAAGTGGGCGCACCGCTTCACGAGGTCACAGTGAGCAAGATGAATCACCAGGAAAGGTGAGAAAAGTGAGAAACATTGGTTCACCTCGACCAAATTGAGTTCAGCAGGGTGTCTCAGCCTCGCCACAACAGCTCGGGCAACAACAAAACGCCTCTTGCTTTAAATGGAAACAAAAGCAGGGGTAACAACACATTTTCCACTTGAATGTATTTCCCCATCGGACTCACACTTCCAGACCTCTCTGTTTATTTTAGGACCACATTTGACATCTGAGTAAAAAAAAGCTTGATGCTGATTGTTACAAAATGTTTTTTAAATCCAAGAGTTACATTTTGACTATGAAGTGTTGCCAAATAATTGCCAGAGGATTGAAGAACTGTTTATTTACTGATATAAATCAATCAACAGAAACCCACAGGATTTCAGGCTGTAGAAGTACATCAGTGCAATATTATTGTTTTTTGTACCATTAAGTAACTGTATACTTTCACTCCAGACAATAACACAGAAGGGATTCATCTATTCACTATTTATCAGGGTATTAAAAAAGAGAACTTAAGTGTATTAATGTTGTGTTTCGCGGGACCCTCTCATACATTGTTACCATTCTGGAGTCAATGCCAGTAAAACAAACTTCTTGTATTTACATTTTTTTGTAAGAATTCTACATTTTATATTTTAGAAAATAAAAAGAGGTCTGGAAACACAAACATCCTTCCGTACTCTGTAGTCTTTTCTATATAATGATCAGGTACTGTAAATTACTGGAATAAAATTCATTAGTTTTCCATGTTGTGTAGGAACCCTAAAAAAGCATTTTGGCGACTGAGAACAGTCTGGTGACGTGCTGCCCTGAATGCATCACACCTGCGATGTCCAGCAGCACAGAGGCATGATGGGAGGCCACCGTCCAGCTGAGAGACAATCTGTCCTGACCACAGGTCTCCATCCTGGACATTTTAAGCCTCCTCCCCCTCCCTCCCGCAAAACTGGGAACAAACCAAAATCATCTATGACCGCACACACACCCCCCCAAATTATCCAAACTTATATTGCCTTTGTATTAAATGGCATCTAACACCTCATTATCCTCCTTCTCTTCTCTCGCCGGTCTGCTCCTCCCTCCCTCTCGCTCTTCTTCCATTCTCCTCCTCACCGCCAAGTACTTAATGACACTGCTGAGCTAACTGGTTGCTATGGAAACAGGCTTGTGATTGGTCAGGAGGAGTGAGGGAGAGTTTGGCACGATTGTGGGTGGGGACATGTAGTGCTGGTGGCTGGGTGGGTGGGTTGACTGCTAGGGGGGCAGTGAGTGACACATTTATACAGAAAAGAGCCATCCCTCCTGGGTAGCAGAATGCAGTGACATTCCTCTAGTCTATGCTCAGAAGCGCACATCACATTAGATGTCAAGGCTTTCATCCAGTTTCCTGTTATCTCCTCATTCTTTCTCTGAGCTCGTGGTTTTTACACCACAGGCATCTGCTGCCTTTCTTCTTGGCTGTCGGAGAAAGGCCACAGCAGAGAGGCATCATGCACTCCGCTGAGAGGAGAAACCCACGTATGTGCAGCACGGTAACATACATCATCTTAACAGCTACATGGTAGTGTACTTTGAAGCAGAGAGCACACAATGCTCTTTCTATAAATAGTTCAAACAAGAAGATTAGATCAAACTTTAATAAAACATCACATCAAAATCAGCCTCGAAAGATAAAAAGAAAATGTCTTTTGTTGCTAAATCGAGACTTTAACCAAACAGATCTGTGTTAGATGAGCCTAAAATATATATTTCATATCAAATATGAATTCACCCTTCTCTTTTATTGGTGCAGATGTTTTTATACATGTAGGGCTTTTATCGTTTCTGTTACTGTTTTTATTACCATGATAATTGCCTTTGAATTCCCTTTTAAGTCAAATGGTGTTGTGTAATGAGCTCTGGTGAGGCATTGCATCTGACACTTTAACTTTAATTTCATTCTAATATTCATGGCAACAGCACCAGTGTAAGATGTGAAAAGTCTCAGTTTCTGCAGCCAAAGAACTGAACGCTGCACTGCCACTCTGGTCATAGCATTAATATGCTGAAGTCTTTGTGCCAAAAGACAAGTTAACTCACTAGAATCGTGTCAGTACACACCCCCACCCCACACAATCAGTCTTACCATCGACTGTGAGGGTCTGCCATCATGGTTAAAGTGCCGCTCCACATATTCTGAAGACAGGAGGTGACTGCAAAGAGAGAAGAGACACCATTAACATCCCTAACAGCATTATCTCAATCACCATGTCATCAAAATTGGTTATCAAAATTATGAGTATTCTCAACCTCCCCTCAAATGTATTTCACAAAGAATACATATTAACATGTGATGTTAATAAAATCAGTGGAAGCTCATAAACACGCAGCAGTGTGTGTCTGTGTGTTTGCCACATTGGTATTCCCCGTCTTGTCATGCAAAATAGAGGCGCTAAGTGCATTTGCTTAAGTGCTGGTAAATGCTAATGAGTACAGCTGCAGTGGATTAGGAGCACCTACTGTTACAAGCGTGTACAAAAAGGCAGACCTGATGATTTTTTTGGATGGTAATACTAACTGGTTTAGCTCCAGGTCCAGAGTGAAGGTGTGTCCAAACGCTTCCACTTGAAAATAGCTCTGGGCCAAGTGGACAGGCTGAAAAAAAACAAAAAGAGAGCGAGACAAATTAAATAGTTGATAAATCAAAGTGTAACAAAACAATTGTGGATAAGAGAGTCGCTCTATAACAGCCACAGAGTGATTGTGAAAACAGTGCCATGAATAATACAGCAGATTCAATAGTGTGTGCGCTTTAGCAACTCGGCAGCTGAAATAATATGATTGATAACGTCTCCATTGATCGACAATGGCCGCCAGCATTTAGGCAGGCCTGACTGCAGAGAGTTATGGTTGTTAAAGAGCTAAACTAGGATTTCGTAAGAGGATGGGAAGAGGAGGAAAAAACGTTGCTGGTATCGTCCCAATTCAAAAAGAGAAAGACTAGGACAGCACAGATTTGATTTCTTAGTATTGCCTTCAATATTGACTGGTAATCTTACAAATTCAAATTGGAGTGCTGTCTTAGTCTTTATTTTTTCAACATTTGCATTAATGATCTGGAATCCAGTTTAGTGTTTTAATTTCTATGGTCTACTCTATATTCAGCCATGCTGCCCCTGATGGACATCTGGCGGAGGAGGTGAGGAGACAGCAGGGCCAGGAGAGAGGAAGGCTCACTGCAGACTGAACAGTGTGTCTCTGTAGCAGCTCTGGACTTTGATCTCAGTCTGGAGGAACCAGGCTGCAGTGAATCACCGGCTTTTACAATCAAATCAAATCAAATCAAGTTTTATTTATATAGCACATTTTTAAAACGATTTTTGGTCGAGCCAAAGTGCTGTACATACAATAAAAACACTTTACAACAAATACAACAGCAAAAATAAAAAATCACACACAGGGAAATGTCAGGAGTCGTGCTCCGCTCTGACTAGAAGGCCAGAGAGAAGAAGTGAGTTTTAAGTGTAGATTTAAAAACCCCTAGGCTCTGGGCCGACCTCACATGGAGGGGCAGAGTGTTCCAGAGCCTAGGGCCAGCTGCTGCGAAGGCTCGGTGCCCTCTGGTTTTGAGCCTGGTCTTGGGCATCACTTTGCAGGAATCATTCCAGTGAGCATGGACAACAGACTTCTTACTACTGTCTTGTTACTGTCTATAGGGGCTTCTGTCTCTGTACAGTGCCGTGTTCCACAGCTTTATATTTGTGTTTAGATCATAAAGTGTGACTGCTCTTAGGTAGGTAAGAATGGAGAAACCAGCTCGAGTAAGCTAGAATTTGAAAGTACACAGCCGGAAAAAAAAAGGCCCCTTCATTCAGACTTCCTTACAGAGCCCCTCCTCCAACACACACGAACGCGCACATGACCAATGAGGGCACGAGACAAGTTTGTGCACGAGATGGAAGGCTGACAGGCAGGTAGGCCATCCAATTATCTGCCGCGGGCCGGGGAAGATAATTGGTCTTGCTTTTTACAGCGCCACGGCTTCCACAGATGAAATATTTGTATATATTTATTGTCAAAGCATTTCATATATTCATTGCTATCGGGATGTTAAGAGCATTGCATGGAATATAACAAAAAGTGTTTCTGAAGTGAATGACCTACCCTACCTTTAAGGTGGTTGCCAAACCTTTTATTTATCTGCTCAGAAGGATGTCTATGTTCAAATGTAAATTTGCTAGGCACCTGAAGGACTTCTAATTAAGGTTGTTCAAAAGGTGAGATTAATCCTTTCTTCTTGACAAAAACAGCTCCATTTAGAAGCTGCTCTCGCGAATGTTACCATGAAGGAAAAAGTATTAGTTAACTTAGTTTTCATAAAACTTTGGTGGGAGGCTGTATCATAGTCCAAGTAAGAATCCGGTACATGTTTGGAGCTGAATCATGCTGCGTATACACACATTATTGTTTTGTTACGGAAAGGGTCTTGACAGAGGGCTTGACTCAACAAGTCCCCTTCTACTTTTTAGATAATAAGTAATGCCAAGGAAGTTGAATGACCTCTTTATGTTAAGCGTGGGAATTGTTCTCACAGTGAGTGTTTTTTTTTCACCTTTCAAATGACTGTTTCACAAATGACATACAGGGCTTTAATAAACCAATCAAATCAATTTCAGATAATGGCTACCAACCTACCAGCCAATAATATAGCTATCCTTGAACAGCATATCAACTGTGCTAAACCAGAAATGAAGTCTTTATGCTAAATAAAACATAAAGAAAGGAATCTTATTATTTGTTTTTTAGGGACAAAAAGAATGTATCACAACAAAAACAAGTACGGCAAAAGCACTGTGTCAACAATTTTCATCGCAGCAGGATGTGACAGAAGAGAAAGAAAAGGGTCAGCTCATGATCCCCTGCTGCTTCTAAATGTATCATGTCCCTCACTCCAAGTGTCTTTAATATTTCAAAACACAGCAGGTCTGGAGAAGAGCAGCAGCTAAAACATGGACCTCTGAAACATTGTATACTTGAACAGTGTCCTCATTTGTATATTCTGAATGTCTCATGTTAGATGCTGTCGTGTTTTATTCATAGTAGCTTCCTCTCCAGGGGCAATAACATTCATTTTACCTATAGTCTTTAATCATGTCACCCTAATGTGCTCTCTCATAACAGTTACATGAACAACATCATATCAGCATGACCAAAAGAGAGAAACGGGGGGGTTTGCTAAAGCCTCTTTGGCCATGCAGTATTTCTCACACAGGCCTGCTTTATAAGTAATGGGGACATACTTTAACACACCACTGAATAATGAAGAAGTGGAGGGCTCAGCACAGCAGCCGGATGATCGGAAATAATGAGTCAATATTTCAGGACGGGCTAAGCTTTGTGAAGATGAGAGGCACTACACACAAACATGTAAAGACATCGTTGGTAAACCGTGCATTTACTACAGAGCTTGCACGGTAAAAAGAGAAAGCAGGTCTAAAGGTTCAAGTTGGCTTGAGTTTAGGCAGAAGAAAAAGGCTGTAAAAAAAACACAATTTATGTGTGTGCGTCCTCTCAGCTGATATTACTTCACGGTGGACATTCAAAGGTATTTTCAGTGACTAACTAGGTCAAAATCAGAGAGGAGTCTGCTGCAAAACACCGCCCTGCCATCCCCGTACAGCTTCAGCAGCACTGTTACAGACACTGGAACAATGTGGTTCCCACCAGCGGAGTAACAGTCTGTCTTAATGTCACACCCACATATGTGCACACACACTTGCTACAATGTCCCTAATAGTGAATCTTCCTCAGTAAGGTTGTATGATGATACTGAGCACTAGATAAAACATGTTCAATGATTTCCTGAACTCACAAACTGCATATCAAGCTGCAAGCCCCCGCTCCAGGTGATTTTGGTCCAGAAAGAAAATGAACCAATCTACTCCTGATTTTGCTGGGGGATTCTTAAAACCCTATCAAAGCCCCATTGATGTTCCTCACCCAAAAAACTTAAAACACTACGACCACTGAACTGAGAATTTCAGAGAGAACCAATGTGAAAATGAACAGAAGTGGGGATATGAGAAATAATTGATGCCGAAAGCTGTGTTAGTTAGAACTTACCAAAGTGTTCTCAGTGCTGTTCTTCACCCTGGTATCCAAGTAGTCACGAGCCATTTCCCCCTCCGACTCGATCTTTTGGACCAGCCGCTTTGGATAGGTGACCTCGATGGCAGTGTCCCCGCTGTCCGGCTGCCCTGCCGGGGTGAACCAGTCCCAGATGCCTCCATCCTGCACTGGGCTCCTGTCCACACCTGCAGGACGAACAACAGAGAAACTCACAGCAAGGGTGTGTTGGCCATGTAGGCGCACACCTGTCTAAATGGGCTGGTAATGTGAACATTATAAAGGTGATATATTGTTTAATAAAACACAATGTGGGATGACCGAGATAAGTGTTTGTTTCTTTAATTGTATGGTGACCTAATTTATCACACTGACTAGTTCATAACATTGAATCTGTCACTGATCTATTATAATGTAATGGCCACAATAAGATATTGTAGGAAATAATGAATGTGGCAATTGGCTATAGTTTTTAGGCTATATTGTAGACTTACGCCCATCTTAATAATTACACAGGGCCATAGCCTCACATTTCAGCAATCTTTAGACAGGCTGTAAAACACGGTAACTGGTGTTTGACAGGTTATATCATTGTGCGTTTATATGAATTAAACACCGCTGGTAATGGTTATGGATATATGCGAGGGGGGCTGCGATGGGAATGTGTTGATGCAGCAAATCAATCGCCTCGGAGACAGAGTGCTGCTTGGCACCCGGTGACTCCTACAATAAAATCGCCGGGGTTAGAAAGTGCTGGTGCAAGTGAAAAAAAATTGTGGATGCAAAGGAAACGAAAAAGGGTGCTCCCGCTCTTTATCCAAACCTCCCTCACTCTCTCTCTTACCTGATACCGCAAGCCTCTCGCCCACTGCAGCAAAGACCATGAAGCACCACACCGCCAGCATGATCTTCACATATTCCCCCGGATTACAACATCGAGAGCCGCAACAATGTCACGAACTCGGCCGACGGTAGGGAGGAAAAAGACCAAGAACCGCACAGCAGGAATGACGGCGAAGAGCGAGAGAGGATCTGCTAAACATCTGATGATGCGGGTCCTCTCATCTCTCTCCCTCTCTGTGTTTCTCTCTCTCCCTTTCTCAGGCAGACACCGAGACTTTGGTGAGCATATCAGAAGTATCAAACGCGAATCATAACCCGGACCTATGGCGGAAATTATATATTGATCAGTGCGGAAATAGTGAGGGGAAGGGAGAGTGCGCGCTTCGGATGCATTGCTCCGTGGGAGAGTTTGGGTGTATATGGGTGTGAGGATGTATATGTCAATCTGTGGTATGCGGAAATGATGGCACGGGGAAGCGGAGAGAGATGTGTCTGCGGTGAGGAGGGCACGTGGGACAGCGGGACCCTCCCTCATCCCGGGCAGCCTCCTCCTCCCGTTGCCAGGGAGAGGATGCGACAGGCCGGGTGCTGCTGAGGAGGTGAACCGCGGAGCAGGAGCCGGGGGGGGGGGGGGCAGGGATAACCACCCATTCATGGCCTCACTGCACACGGGGATGAATGGGTGAATATATCTGGGAATGTATTAGGATAGATGTGTGACATGTCCATGATCATGATTTCCTTTTCCCCTGTTTCCATGGTAACCAAGTCAAACTGTTTATATGTTTGTCAATCCTTTTTTGTTTCATGTAGCCTAACTTATTGTGACATAGTCCATGTCTTTTTCTTCTGTTAAATGTACAATAAAGTCAAATTTCATGAAAAAAAAGAACCTACACAACAGTTCTATGACTTATTTTCCTGGAATTGACTAAGGAAAGACTACATCATGTTTTTATTTCTAAAAACGGTGTGATGATTGAAAAGGATGTTAGATTTTCCTATAGAGGCCTTTCAAGGAAGATAGTCCTACTGTAGATTAATTAGGCTTTAGAAAATCATAAAATAAATGTTAGGCTACATGTTATCTGTTGAGCATTGACTGAGGTGAATACATGTGCCCCTCACATGGAGCAAATTCAGAAACAAGACAGTTTGTTGAGAAATAAAAAAGGCTTTTTTTGGCATAGATCTACAATTGCAAAAAAACGTTACAGCCCATAAGATAAACTCCACCCCTGAAAACCGTACACATGGCATTGCTTCAATGAAATGAAAAATATTAGTAAAATGATTTATCATAGGCAGGTCACCTGAAAAAGTATATTGATAAATACTGCAAACATCAGTATAAACATTTGAATCTGTAGATGTACTCTGACAACATTAAGTAATACACTATTTAAGTAAACATGAGCGGGTCTGTATGATGTATGAATTTATTGTGTGAAAGATATTGCAGCAGACAATCAATTAGCTTTTTATGAGGATCCATACATAAAGATCAATCAAAGAATGAAGCTGCAGAGCTCTAAGTGTTGCTGTCTCAGCCCTGTGACCTGCAGGATTTGCTTCCTTGAGAAAGTTAAGTGTTCCAGCAGCCATCCTGCTAATGGAGGCACATTGTGCACTGACAGCCCCCTCTGAATATTTCATCTGCCCCCCTTTGAGACAGGGATCAAGAGATAGTGGGGAAGAGATGGAGGGGAAAGCAGCAGGATGAGGGCAGCATCCATGCTAAATATGTGCTCGTTCTGACAAATTGGAGTTCTCCAACTCGAATCAGAAACCAGTCCAGTTAAGACTGAGCCTTGCTTCTGTTAATCTGAATTCAAACATCACCACATGTGCCTTTTGGTGCCTTTCATGGGATGAACATCTGATCACACAGTGCTGCTCAATTAATCAGCAGCGTTGAGTAACAACAACTGCAGAAAGAGCTCTGAGAAGTCAGGCTGTGCTTCAGAAACAAAATAATTATTATGAGCTGTGGTCCAGGGCAACAAAAAGTGTTTAAATCCTTTACTTATGTATAACCACTAATGCCAAACTGTGAAAACACTGCATTAACCCTCCTGTTGTCAAATCTGACCGATTTACTATACTTTCATCAATCATAACTTTTTTGTTTTACATTCGATTGCATTAAGGCTTTATGATATCCTTCACAGTAGACATTTGAACATATACAATTGCTGATCACCACTTTCATTGCATTTTGGATGATTTAGTCAACTTTGTAACACCCATGGTGTTCCCGGTCTAGATGTGTGTCCCCCCATGTGAATCACACCAGGCACCAGGGGCAGACTGGGACTAAAAATCAGCCAGGGAAACTCGACCGGCCCAACTCGGTACCGCTAGTCAATTGTCAACGTGGGGGGGGGGTGGGGTGCTAGTGAATTGTCCGACCGGATCACTTCGGTACCGGCCCACCGGAAAAACTCCCGGTATTCCCAATGGCCAGTCCGCCCCTGCCTGGCACACACAAACACAGAACAATTTGACACATGTTCCGCTCTTATGTGCCCATCCCCCCACATGGATCACACCTGGCACACGCAATACATGTTCAGTGTCTATTCTTTGTATATTTACTGCAGTTGTTCATGTATACCAGTAGTCTGATACAATACTTACAGTTTGAAAGGGTGTTAAATAAAATTTGGTGATGATTAATGGTTTTTGTGTTAATGTAATGGCAGTTAAAACAGGAGCGGTCAAATTTGACCGCGAAGACCAAAGTAAGGGGGGGAGACGAAGACAATAGGAGGGTTAAGGAAAAGGCCTGCATTGAAAACCTTACCTAAGTTAAATAATGTAGGTATTAATATCAAAGTGTATACTTTACTGCAAGTATCACGCTAATAAAGTAAGCACACATTGCACAGTTAATTGTTAACGGTCAGTATTTTCATTCTTCATAGACTGTTGGATGTTTAATCTACAGCAATGCATCATATTCAATAAAACCATCATACGTTTGTAACTTATAGCTATCATGTGAGAACCACCTACCAATCATTCAAAGTTTCCTGAGCTCTGAAAAACAGCCTTGTTTGAGCCTTGTGATAGAACTAATCCAAAAGGGTTTTGAAATAGTGTATTTATAAGAAGTTTTCACAATTTATGAAGACATGTTTAATCCTCCAGTTATAAAAAACTGATATCATCACATTCAAAGAAACAAGATTTTACCTGGACAGCAAGGGATTGAAAACAAATATGTTGTAAAGCAACTAGAGCTGTTAGATATAGTTGAGTAAAAAGTACAATCATTTAGTCACAAATGTAGTGCAGCAAAGTAGCAAAATGTACAAAAGCAAAAAAAACTCCACCCTGAATAAGATTAGGAATTAATGAGACGTAAATCCTTATAAACTAACTCTTATAGTCTGATGGTTTGACCTGATATGAGAGAGACATGAAGGAAGTCTTAACTATTTCCCTAACATACGTTTAAAAAACAGAGACACTAAGGAGGATCACAACAGGACTTACTCAGATATTACAAAAACAAATACAAACAGTGTACAGTCAAAGTAAATGTAAAAAGAGTGAGACAGAGACAGAGACACACTACCCTCTACTGTGCAAATAGCTGCATCACACTTACAACAGGCTATTTGCAACTACATCAAGTCAGCCAGGAGAAGGGCAAATATCTGATCACTTTTGGAAATAGATTTCTTTCTTTCTTCTGCCATTGTGTAGTGTTATTAAGAGTGGAGAATATGCCTTCTAAAAAGTTAATAAAGCATTAAATGTGTTGATAATCACATTCTTTGGAAGAGTTTTTTTTATAAACTATACAGTGTATCATTGTACTAAATACAGTGCTAGTCTCTTTAAACACTGATAGGCAGCACCTTAGTGGCGTTAACACGTTGGTGCATGTGTTGGCTTGCCCGTGTTTTACGTTTGTTTGCACACAGCTGAGCTGCGCAGGGCAATCAGGAGAATTAGTTTCAGCTTCACTTCTTGAGCCGAGCCAAGTGCTAAATCATTGAACACATGCTGGTGACCAGGCGCTGTCAATTAACCAATTAGCTCTCCCTATAAGACAGGGTGATGAAAGCGGCGGCCTTTCCATTACATCTCATCTTAGGAAAAGTGATCACATATCCAAGAAAATGAATGGTGTACCCAACGGGAAAGCTGTCGGCAGTCCGCCGCTGCAGCTGTTCAACTGCGAGCACGCTGCCTGTGGAGCGACGTTCACCAGACAGTGGAGACTGAAGGAGCACGAGACGGTGCACACTGGAGCGGTGAGTTAAATGTTCAGAATTCCTAAAGTAATACACCAATGTAACTTTTTAAATGCATTTTGCCAAACAAACATGACGTTGTTCCGTCACACAGCGCCCGTGTCTCTGCACAATTGCTGGCTGTGGTCATCGTTTCACGAGAAAGTCCCACCTGAGCCGCCACATGCTTCTGCACAGAGGGGTGAAGCAATTCCAGTAAGTCACATGATGTCACTGTACTGTTTCTCCTCACAACCAAAACCCACGTCCTCATTCTTTAATTTTCCTTTTGGCAGATGCAAATTTGCGAGCTGCACGCTGAGTTTCTTCCACACCGGCAATCTGAAAAGACATTTTCGCTACGCCCACGGAGACAAAGACACGTATTTCAAGGTTTGTCTTGGTAAACGAATGTGCCCACAAGATGGCGCCAAAGGGTCGTATTCAAACAGCGTCCCCTTAAATGTACTGCTTGATGTTCAATAGCCAGTTTCAAGTCCTTTGTGTCATTTTAACCACTTAATATTTTTCTCCTACAGTGTAACCAGCCAAACTGCTCATTGACATTCAAAAAACGCAGGCTGTTTAAACTGCACTTAAAGGAGCATGGATTGCCTGCTAACTCAAAGTAAGTCTGTCAAAAAAGATTAAATGTCAGAGTAGAAGACTACCTAGATGTTCTGTAGTTTAAAATCACACCGTTTTGTCCTAGGAGTTAATTAAATGCATGTTAAATAATATGCACTTGCCATTTCTATAATAAGATCCTTAATACCTGGCATGCAGGCTCTCGCAGAGATAAATGAGTGGTTACAGGCAGTGGGTGTGGGTGAAGTTGATTTTTAATTCTTCCTGTCCTTGGTGGGTTACTTAGGTGTTCGGAGGCTGGATGTGCTGCCACCTTTGACTCCCATATTGAACGCAAAGCCCATGAGAAGAGGCACGCAGGTTGGTCTATTTCATAGCAGGTGTCCTTTTATCTTCTATCCCTGTGAAATTCTTTAATTAAAAAGGGGGTTGTGGCTTCATTTGCATGTAACCTTTTTGTGCATCCAAGTGTATTCTTTCAAGACTCATAACATGTATGCCAGTTCCTCAAATGGCTCCAGAAGGGAGCCAACTGGGGCCGATCCTTTGATTTCCCAACTCACTGGCCTTGTTTGGTCCCTGCAGGTTA